TTGCCCTTGATCTAATGTCCACATATGAGGGAGAACATACGATTTTTGGTCTTTTGGGCCAGGCTAACCTCACTCAGAATGATGTTCTCCAATTCCATCCATTTACCAGCGAATGATAACATTTCGTTCTTCATGGCTGCATAAAATTCCATTGTGTATAGATACCACATTTTCTTAATCCATTCGTCAGTGGTGGGGCATCTTGGCTGTTTCCATAACTTGGCTATTATGAATAGTGCCATAATAAACATGGGTGTGCAGGTGATTATTATTTTGGAGAAGGGGTCTCAAGAACTATTTTCCCAGGCTGGCCTCGAACTGTGGTCTTCCCAAACTCACCTCCCAAGTAGCTAAGATTACTGGCATAAGCCACCAGTGCCCGACTTATTTTGTGTTGATTACGTGTTGAAATGAGAATAGTTGGGGTATGTTGGATTTAATAAAATATATTATCTTTACCTATTTCTTTTTAAGTAAGGTACTAGAAAGTCTAAAAATTCAGTCAGGCACAGTAGTGCTTGTCTACAATCCCAGCTACTTGGAAGGCAGAAATCAGGACGATCATCGTTCCAAGCCAGTCTAGGCAAAAGGTTAGTGAATCCCCTTCTCAACCAACAAACTATGTGTGGTAGCACACACCTGTAAGTAGGAGGATCGGGGTCTGAGGCTGGCTTCAGGCAAGAATGGGACTATACCTGAAAAATAACTAAAGCAAAAGAGGATGGGGGCATGGCTCAAGTGGCAGAGCACCTGCCTAGCAAGTGCAAGGCTGTGAGTTCAAACCCCAGTGCCACCAAAAACAAACAAAAAAACCGCATATAGAAGTCAAGCGTTCTGATGCTCACCTGTAATCCTAGCACTCAAGAGGCTGAGGCAGGACGATCAGGGCTGCATAGCAAGTCCCAAAATGCTTCCCCACAAAAAAACTGGCACCCAGCTTGCCTGAGTTGCCTGTGCTCAGTTCTGCAGGTGGCACAAGGCTCTAGACCCTGACGCCCCATAACGAATGCACCCAACAAGTAGACTCTGAGCATCTGCAGGGTGCAAAAGCACTACCTGACCTCAGCCTCTGTCCTGGCCACTTGCAACTGGGGGCTCCATGAGCAGGAGGACATATACCTGGGAGCTGAGTTCCTTCCTGTGACTCGCTCAGAGATGTTCTGAGTGGTTTAAGGAGGGAGATGCAGCCTGGAGGTGTGAGCTAATCAAAGGACTTCCTTCTTTGGGCAGAGCATATACCTGAGTATCCCTTGCTATAGGTGGCCTTCACAGCCAAGTTCCAATTCCTGGTCCCACTCCACTCCGCTTAGAAACCCCTCCACTGGAACTGCCTTTCCGGGTTCTGAGGCCAAAGTCAGTCAGTCCTTTGAGATGATCTGTGTGGACCAGACCTGCAGCTGCTTTCCAGCCCATAGGGAAAGAGGTGGAGGCAAGGTGGGTGGAGGGGTGCTGTCATTGTAGGCAGGCAGGCAGGGGCAGAGGGCCTGGGTACCTCCTGGCATACCCACCACCAGCCAACACCCACCCAGTCCTGAAGCCACCTGTTCCCATGGGTCCCCAGCAGACAATGCTAGGGCTGAGAGAGGGCAAGGGACCCTGCTGACCTTCTGGAGCCAGGAGTGCTCAGCGCCCCCCCCCCCAATGCCCTCTCTGCCTGTCCCCTGCCATCTATCCACCAACAGTCACACACTTTACACTTTACTGAGGTACAGCAGTAGGACACTTTGGACCTGGCACTGGGACTTGAGAGCTAAGAAGGGGTTAAGCATGGGGCTAAAGGGACTGAGAGTTAAAAATAGGGTGATCCAGCCCAGAGCAAGGAAGGCAAGGGCAAACCTAGACTCAGTGCATGCCTGATGGTTTGGAGGAAATGACTCCAGCCTCTTCACCCTGCACTCTGATGCAGCCATCTGCCTCTGGTGATGCCTTAGAAGTTCCCCTAGGGGGCTGGCGGAGTGGCTCGAGTGACAGAGTGCCTGCCTAGCAAGTGTGAAGTCCTGAGTACTGCCAAAAAAAGTTCCCTCGTATGGGGGCAGGGGCTTGAGGTGCCTCAGTAGGGTGGGGATCAGGAATCTAAGCTGAATGTGATTCTGTGTCCTACCTCTGCAGTAAACCAGGTGGTCTTAGGAGTCCTGCCCTGTGGGGAGCAGGGCGATGGTCCTGTACCTGTCCCTACCGGCTCCCCAGGATCTTGCCTGCTGCTACTGCTGCTTTGTCTCTTCTCTGTCCTTCCATCTCCCCCTCCAGTTCTCTTATGGCCTCTCTGATTGACCCTCCCATAGTCCTAGCTCCCTCTTCCCCAGGCTACATACGTCCAGGCCCACTCCGGCGGGGAAGGTGGGATGATAGTGACAGGTTTCTGTCTCAAACTGAGGCTTCCTACCAGTGCAGGGGGCCCAGTCCCTCCCACCCAGATGAGACTTGCCTAGATTCCAGCTTTCTGGAATCCAAGGAGGTGAGGGGAGGCTTCTCTGGCTTCAACCATAAAAGGGAAGTCAAGTCCCCGGCTCACCTCACTGTCTGCTTGGCAGAAGTTAGAAGTTAGTGGAGAGACAGTGTCTGCTGGGACAGCCTAGGAAGGGAGGGCCAGGCCTCCACCCAGTGCCTGTTTCCTCACTGAGAATGGGAAAACCACATCCCTTCCTCCTATCTCCCATGAGGTCCTAGGTGCTCACTTCCTACCTCCCCCCCCCGCCGGCATCCCAGTTGTCATGCTCCCTCCAGGATCTGGGGAGAGAGGGGAGCCAGGGTGGTCATTGACAGAAAGCAGAGAGGCAGGTTGGTGTGAGCTCCATGGAAGCCCCAGGATGTGATCTTTAATCGATGCTCCTGGCCCCGCCTCCCCGCCCCCAGCCCCAGATGACGTATGTACAGGATGCATAAAGAGCCAGGCCAGGCCAGTGCAACCCCTTTTCTTCCCTGGGCACTGCCAGGGTGAGACAGGAGGATGCAGACAGCTGGGAGCCAGAGTGGACTGGTCACAGGAAGTCTTGTGTTCACGTCCCCACCACAGACATGCACTCACACAGATATGCCTGTGTGCTCAGAGGGTGCTGAGAAGTATATCCACATGTCTGTGCTCAGATGCATTGTCACCTGTGTACACATGTGCCACCAAGGATGGAAGCCTAAAGGTGTGGGCAGCTATGGTGCAAACCTCAGCCCTTCCCACTGTCCTGCCTCTGCTAGTGGAGTTGGTGGTGCAGGACTGGCCTGAAGGGCACCCACTCAGCCTCCTTACTGGCAGTGCCAGCTGGAGCTCGGTACTGAGGACCCTACTGTAGTCAGAAGCCATCTAATACCCAAAAGGTGGTCAGTGGGTCCTAGGCCCCAGTTTGCCCATGGGGGTGGTTCAGATAAACAAGGAGCTATTTTCTCTGTGATTCCTTCTCAAAGAGGCCCCAGAAACAGAAGGACTTGGTCAGGTAGCTCAGGGTCCTGGGGTGCTCAGAACCCCTTACTGAGCTGAGAGGAGAGCCCCTGGGAAGGGGTGCCATTTATTTGTGGCTTTCATCCATAAGGCAGCCTGCCCCTATTGTGCCCTGTCAGCTGCTTTTAGGACCAAGGAGTCTCAGCTCCTTGGTCCCAAAGTGAGAATGGTGAGGGAAGGCCATAGCTGAGCAAGGTTGCCAGCTGGCCACAGCAGGGGTCAGAAGACGGATAGGGGACATCTGTAAACTACTACTTGGCCCTAGAATGGGGGTAGGAAGTAGAATGGGATTGACAGAACCTTGAGGACTTTTCTAGAAGTCCAGAGACCTGCCCTTTCCTGACCCCTTACACATCACAGGCACTAACCCTCTAGGCACTAGACCACTTCTGGCTCTCCTTACCTACAGAGTCCTCCCTGGAAAGACGGCCTGGCTTGGAACTCCCAGGCCACACCAGGGGCACCTAAACCCTGAGATAGCCCACGAATCACCCTTCTTCAAAGGGGGAAGGTGCCATTTTATTTCAGGGACTATATTTTCTAGACCCCCAAGTATATGCGTCCTGGCAGGGTCAGGACGGTCATTTTGGAATTGAAGACAGTCTGGGACATGTGGTCACCGCACCCATAACCTAGGCCATGGGCACGGGGACAGGCAGCTTTGGTTTGAATCAGCACTCTTATTTCCAAGCTCTGTGGGGTGGGGCAAGGAGAGATGCCCAGCCCCTGCCCGGGTTCAGTGACAGGATTCAGGTGTGAGCCTATCAGGGGAGGGTTGAGGGGAGGGGGATGGCCAGGCCTCAGTTTCTCTGGGCCCCCCTGTGAGTATCAAAACATCCCTACAACTGCCCTGGCCCCAGCACCCCCAAGGTTACATTCATCTGTTAAGATGCAGTAAAAAAATGCAGATGTCAGCCCCTTCCCGCTAGGTCTCAGAAAGCAAGATCCTGGCCCAGCCGCTGGTTGTGAAGGCCATGTCCACTGGTGGCCCCCCAGGCTCCCCCTTGAGCTGTGGCAGTCTGTGATAATGGAAGCTACATTCACACAGGGAGACTTGGTGTGCAAGGCCAAAGCCGCATGAGGTGAGGTGGGGGACCGTGAGGAAAATGCCCTCCAGGCTGGTCCACCCAGGTGGTACGAAGGGCAGGGCCACAGCCCCCACCCCAATCCCTTGTGGAGGCAGGAGTTGAAGGGTTTGGACCTGGAAGACATTTGCACGGTGCCTCCCTCTGTGGCTGGGTGGGGGCAGCCTCGTGGTTCAGTGCCGAGACGGTGGGTGCCAGGCTTGGAGGGAGGGGGGTGGCACTTAGGCCCCTCCGGACCTGGAATGGAGAGGGGGCATCAGGGGAGTGTATGAGGCAGGACCCAGAGGGAGAGCCCTCCAGCTGGACCCTGGGAGGTCAGTGCTGGGCCCTGGAGCAGCAAGTCACAGGCTGGCCGGGAGGGGGTCTGGCGGAGGTCAGACAGTGGTGACATGGCAGACAAAACAGATGGGACGCAGAGGGAGGCCCCTCCCAGGGGATGGGATTTGCTGGGCACAGCTCCAGGGCCCACCCAGCCGGGGGTCCGGCCACAGGAAAGGCAACAGAAGATGGACCACGGCCCAAGAGAACAGGTGGACAAGGAGGAAGGGACAGGGCAGGCCGAGGACTTTCTTCCCAGGCTGCCAGCAGGGCTGCAAGAGGGAATCAGCCCCAGCTCCCCATCAACAAATGCGAGGGACGAATGAGATGGAGGAGACAAGGACAGCGGGAGGGATGACGGGGCGGCGTCACACTGCCCCCTGCTGGGTCGGGTCATACCTTCCTCTGCGGATGTTTCTTCAGGAGCCACGGAGAGGACAGGCAAAGAGAGAGAGGAAAAGGCATCATGTGACCCTCTCCTTCTCTCAGGGAGGAGGCCCAGGATCTCCAGGGTCTAATACTAGGGACAGGGCCAAGGAGTGATACTGGGCAGATCTAACAAAAATAGGTCCAGGGTTCCAGTCCTGGCTCTGCCACTAACTCATCAGGTGACACTGGACCTCAGGTTCCTCCAATGCCCAGGGAGGGGGGCATCAGACCCCAAACTGAGATGTCCCACAGAGGGTCATAGGTTCAGTGGGGCTGGGGACTGAGAACACATGCCTTATCTTGAGCAGGCTATGCATGGCTCCATGCTGGCTGTGCTGGGCTACACTGAGGCACACAGGGGCCCAACCTTTGCAGACTGGACAGGTCAGAAGTCAGGGTTGTTAATGTGAAATCTGGTGTTTAAATGTAAACAAATAATTGTTTTCAATGTTCAAACAAGACCCTGTAGGCCAGCTTGGACCAGTGATGCATGAGCTCTGGGTTAGCTGACCTCTCGGGGGGGCCTCTATCCTCCAACAGTCTGGGGGTCTGATCCCCAAGGACACCAGAGGGTCTAGGGGTGCGTGTCTCTTACTTAAATCCCCAGCCCGTGCCGCCCAGGACGATGGCTGCAACCAGGACAGCCCCGGCGATGGAGCCAATGATGATGTTGGTGCCGCTGGGACCTGGGGAGGAGGGCAGGGCTTGGTTGGCAGGGACAGGCATGGAAAAAGGTAGAGACATGCTGAGCTGGCCAGCTTCGGCCTCACCTTTATATCTCTCCGTCTCCCCAGTGGGTGGGGATGTGGGCAGCGGGTTGTGGATACTGCAGTCTTTGCCTGTCCAGTCGGGCTGACAGATGCACTTCCCTTCATTGCTGCAGACCTGGAGGTGGGGTGGAGTCAGCATAAGTGAGCAGGGCCTTGTCTCCTGTTGTAAGCCTCTCCAGCCATCCCTGGCCTCCTGGCTCTCACCCCGTGGTGGGAGCAGACCCGGCGCTCCCCACTGCCCGGGCAGGTGCTGAAGTTGAAGGCAGAGGCTGGCAGGCAGCGGTGGTCCAGGCACAGCATGTTGGGCCCACAAGCCGTGCCGTCCTCTACATAGCTCAGGTCTGAGCCATCAGCCAGCTGCACATGGCCTCCCCTGGGGAGACGGTATAGCCAGCCTCAGTCCCTGTCCAGCCCCCATTGGAGCTGCCACCTCCCTTTTCCCAGCCATTGTCCCAGCCAACACCTGCAGTCCAACTCTTTGCCCTGGTGGTAGAAGGTGACACTGCTGATGTCTCCCCCCAAGTCCCCCTGCCGAGGACTTCCAGAGATGTTGACACAGAGGAGGAAGCCACAGAGCACATCCCTGTCGGGGTACATGGAGACGGGTGAGCACCAAGTTAAGACTCAGACCCAACTACTGAGCTCTGATCTGCCCTCTTCACTGGGCCTCACAGGCCTCTAGTAGGAGAACCTGTGCCCCATCTTTGAAGACTCTCAGCTGCCCAGAGCTGGGGACATCTAATAGGTAGGTGCCTTGGCTACTCACTGCTTATTGCATTGGACCCAGCCTGACCCCTTGCGCCCACAGTTCCCACGCTCTGTTCCCTCCACGTTCAGTTTCTCATAGCAGAAGCGATCAGCAGCCACTGGAGAAGATGATGCCAGGTGTCACTCCACCCACCCCAGGACCTCCCCCACTTTGAACCTCTAAGCTGGCTGGGTTCAAAGATTCTAAGGAATCACACATTTGGTGGGGGGCATATTTAGCCAGAACCTGCCCTTCCCCAGCTTTTCCATTCTGGGTCCTCTAGAGTCCCACCTCCCATATCCATTCAGACTCACCATGACCCCAAAGGGCCTGGCACTGCCGGTCTCGGGTTTTGCAACGACCCCCATAACAGCGGCCCTGAGAAACCAACAAAGAAGGGATGGAAACACTGGAGATCAGAATGGAGGCAAGAGACTGCAAGGAGCCCATAGGTGGAGGAGCCCCCCCCATACCTGCTCATGATCACAGTAGTAACCATCCAGCTTGTGCAGGTTTGGGGGACACTGTGGAGAGAGGAGTTGACTGAGCAGAGCAGGCCTAGGACTAAGAGCAAAGGCCCACACCAGGCTGGGATGAAGCAATGAGAAATTCTCTCCAAGTGGGAGCTCATCTTAGGGTTCTTCCATGACAAGGTCAAGGGCTCCATCTGTGGATTTGACACTATGGAGTCCTAAGTCCCCTAACTTCTCCAGTTTAACCCCAGTTTCCTGCACCCACCCACCTCGCAGGGCAGGGAGAGCATAACACCTAATTAGGATTTAATAATGTTGATATTGTTATCCACTTTGATCCCTAGCGTACACAAGCACTGTGCCAGACGCTGGGAATACCAGCCAGGGTATGAATGCTGGTCTAATGATTGAACAAAGCCACGAGGCATGAAGAACCCCTTTCTCGGAGAAAGAAACCGAGGCTCATTGACGGCAGGCGTCGCCAGCTGAGGAGCAGAGGGGGCCAGAGAGCAGTCACCCCACAGAGCCAAGCCGATAGGGATAAGGGGAGCCTTGCCCGGGGCTCTGCAGGATGACCGGCCCGGGCAGACCTGGCTTGAATCCCCGGTGCAGGTCTCGGCGATGTCGCACTCGTTCACGGCTTCTCGGCAAGAGACGCCTCGCGGCTCGTACTAGGGAAAGGATGCATTCCTGGGCTCACGCAGGATAAGTACCTCTGCGTCTCGCGTCTCCCCCCGGCCCCCACCCCGTCCCACGCGGAAACACCACCCTCCTCCATGACAGCGGGTTCCTAGGTAGGTTCGCATTTCTGTGACCCCACCACCTTTCGGCCGCTCCCGGCCCCTCGTAGCCCCGCCTTCCACACGCACAGCGTCCGCGAGGTCCCGCCCCCAACCCCTCATTGGCGCTTTCCTCGCAGTAGGCTCCGCCCACAGATGTGCTCCGCCCTCAATGGCTCTGCCTGCTTTCCTAACTCCCGCCTCCTACCTGATGACGCCCAAGCATCCTCTCCCTGGTCCTGGCCTCGTGGCCTCCTCACCTTGCAGCGGCGACAGCAGAGCCCGTCGCTGCACATGGCGTCGTGAGTCAGGGTGCATTTCTTGCAGCAGTTGCCACCCGCGCGGCTGCACTCCTGAGGGTAGCGGGGAGAAGCGCAGGGAGGCGGTCGAACTCTAATCCTCCCCACTTGAACCCCCCTCGCGTCCACTCGACCGTCCCTGGCCTCCCCGCCTCGTCCACCTGGCGCCTGTACCGGCTGCTCACCTGCACCGAGCCGCAATCGCACTCCTCCCCGGTCTCCACGAAGCCATTTCCGCATTCGGGGGGGTCCAGGAGCTGGATCGAGAAGGGGGTGTTAGGAGTCTGGCCGGGACCCTATCCACGCCCCACTCCCTGATTTCCGGTACCTTGAGGGGCTTGTTGAAGAGGCAGCTTCCGCCGCCCTCCTGCAAAAACTGGTTGTACTCATCGATGCTGCAGCGCGAGAACTTGCGGGGCAGGTAGAACCTGGGCAGGCATGAGGGGACCCGGCCTCAGTGCTCCCCGCTCCCTCTCGCCCTTTGTTAAGATTGGGGAACGGGCAAGCCCTGAGACTCTGTCACCATCGCGAGGAGGCTGAGGATATGTCCCGGGAATGCGTGAGTCCTCCCGCTTGCCCATCAGGGAGAGGTCGGAGGAGCTCGCTCCGGTCCCCACTGCGGAACCTCAGGACTCAGACCGCCCCAGTGCTGGAGCACTCCGGAGGCACCGTGTCTCCGCATAAGGCTTGGGCGCCGCCCAGCGGCAATCGCTCGCAGTACAGCCTGGCCAGTTTGGGTGTCCAGCAGGGCAATTTTGGGCTCCCTGTGCAGTGTTTGCACACAACTGGGCTTCTTGGAATCCTAAGCAGCCGTCCGTGAGCTAGGCCTCCGGTCCAGACCGCCTTTCAGTGCTCGCTCTAAGACTTCCCTTGCCCAAGACCCTCTCCTCTTGTCCCCAAGAACTCACCCAGTGTCCTCCATGATGCAGCCCAGCCAGATGTCTGGACATTTGCAGTCCCCTGAGAGGTAAACCAGGACATAAGGGGGTCAGGGAGCATCCCCTCACACCCTCTTCACTTCTAGCTGGGCTGGGCATGCATCTGGGCTGGCCGTGGGCCCACATGGGGGCCTCTGATGGGCAATACCTGCTGAGCTCCGGTGTTTGTTCCACATCATGCCCAGATTCTGCCCCAGTGTCTGGGCTAGGGTCACTGCCATCGCCCCCATGTTCCCATACTAGGGGTGAGAGAGATGGAGCATAGCGATGCCTATGTCCTACCAACAGGCACCCTGCTTCTTTGTAGCCTCTCTCCCTCAGCCCTCACCCCAGCTATGGCCCTCTCTGCTCACCTCATTCACACCCCCACCCCTGGACAGCGAGCAGATGCCTCCCACATAGGCTGCCCCGCTGCTGGTGCTCTGGAAGGTCCTGCCCCTGGAAGACAGAGAGTTGTCGGGATGACCTCTTGCTCCCTTTGGTGGCTCTCAGGGGCTGTGAGGAGGTCTTGGTGCCTCCCTTACTGGGGTTCTTCCTTAGGGTTTGGGCCTTGCCCTTCGCATCAGCCTGTGTGACCTCAGGCAAGCCCCTCCCCTCTTTGGGCTCACTAGACCTCATGCTAAATGAGAGGTTCATCTCTTGCTGCAAGGTGCTTTTATTAGATTTTCCCTGAGGAAGGGATGATGGGACAGTCTGAAAAGGGAAAGAGGAGACTAAGGGGAGGTGGGGACGAAGGACCACCAGGACTAAGGCAGAGGGCACCAGCCTAAGATTCAGCTGTGGCTGGTGGCAGGTGTAAGGTAAGTCTGATTTGCAGGCTCAGAGGAGAGCTCCTGGCCCAGGCAGGTATTCAGGAACCCTAAGCCCTGGGGCAGTCAGTGGAGGCTGGCAGGGTGCTGGGGGTAGGGGACTCACGAGAAGAGGTGGGTGGCATCGCTGGACTCAGGCAGACTCTCCCGCCGGTAGACCATAAGTCGGGCTAGGGTCTCCAGGAGGTCATCCTGCACCTGGATCTTGTCCCCATCTGCCCATGTTTCCATGGCAACCAGCACAATGCGGGTGTTGAGCTGCTCCTTATATATCTGGGCCCAGAGGGAAGAAGATGAGGGAGACTGAAAGGGAGAGTGGGTGTGGGAGGACAGAGCTGGAGTAGGGCCTCAATCTGCCCCTTCAGCTCTCCAGGCTGACAGTGACCCCTGGATGTGTGTGGAGGGGGAAGACTAGGGAGAGGGGAGGGAGCGGGCTGATTACCACATCTGCCAGGTTCACCACAGACTTGGCAAAGTTGCTGGTGAGGACCACTGACTGCCGCATCTGCTCGAACTGGGAAGAAAGGAAAGGGGGATAGGGTGAGGCTCCTTTTGGGCCCTCCTGCCATTGTTCCCCCAGCCTGGGGACTTACCAGCTGGTGGTCGTTGATCACAGTCAGCTCCACATATTTGGTCTCACTGTGTACTGTGGGGTGGCCCCTGCGGACCTGGGGGGGTGAGTGGGCACTTGGAATCAGTCCCCTCCATGTGTGGCTTATGGCCAAGCCACGGACAGACTTGTAGGGAGAGAGTCTGGACCCCAGCCAGGGACAGGGACCCCCAGTGGCAGAGGGTCCCAACCCTTCCAGCCTGGGAATGGGAACAGAGGACAGGCAGCCTCTGATTGCCTAAGATGGGTACCCATGTAGACAACACTAGGGAGGAATTGGGGGGCTCTCCCAAGAGCTGGTTCCTTGACCCCTGGCCTCATCACTCTGACCCTCCTCTGCCCCAACATGGGTGGTAGTCCTTTGCCCTGGACCACAGCCAGGTGGTCTCTGCTGGTCTCTGCAGCCCGAGGTCTGAGCGGGCCCCATACCTGCCTTTTCCTTCTCAGCCTCAGCCGGTTTGGAGGAGCAGAATAGGCAGGGGCAGCAAACAGGCAGCCTGTAGGGAAGGGCAGGTGAGGGGAGAACAGTTGCCCCCATCCCAGCCTCCCTTCCCCCTCCCTTACCTGGTTCCCTGCATCCGAGGGGGGCTGGGAGGAGAGGGGTCCGGTAAATGAGGTGGGGAAGGGGTCCCTGCAATGAGGGAAATTAGTTCTTGAGGAGCCAACCAGCTCTGCTCTGGGCCCAACTTGGGGGACAGCTCCAACCCTTCCCTCCACCCCACCCTGGGGTGACCCAGAACTGGCCAGAGCTCCCATGTCGGATCTGATCTCCCAGATGCTCAGATTCCGGGGTCAAGACCTGGGGGCGCCCTGAGAGACAGGGGCAAAGGACACTGGAGCCCAGTGGGAGGTCACTTGGGGGACAGAAGGGACATTGGAGCTGGGGGCAGGCGGGAACCAGAGCTGGCAGTGCTGAGGAAGGCAGTAAGGCTGAGGTGACTGAGGGGAAGGAGGAGGCAGCCATAGCTGTGGGGACAAGCAAGGCAGGGCCATCAGAGGGATGGCGAGGGTCAGTGTAGGGCTTACCTGAGGGGCTCCCCTCCAAGGCCCAGCCATCTTTTGCGGTTCCACGATGTAAGTCAGGTTCCCATCAGAGAAGACCCCCCTATGGAGACAGAGCCACAGCTCCCCACTGTCCCAGGCTGGGAGGAGGCCTCCCCTGCTGCCCAGGGCCCCTGTACTCACCGCAGCCCCTGGCAGGTGGACAGAGCCGCGAAGGAGTGCGGGTTACCCCGGAGCTTCCCCTGGTAGTAGCAGTGGTCTCCAGCCTCCTGGGGAGAGCAGAACAGTGAACAGAGCACTGCTCTGAGTGTAGGTGGCTGTGGTTCCCTCCCACCCCACACACACCCATTCTAAACTGGTGGTGCTCTTAATTTGCTATTTCACCCTGGGCAAGTTCCTAACCCTCCCTGAGCTAACTTCATCTGACTATAAAATGAGGGCATTTGGGCTGGGGTATGGCTCGTGTTGTAGAGCAGCACCTGCCTGCAAGCACAAGGCCCTGAGTTCAGCCTTCCAGTATCACAAAACAAAACCCTGTACCAAAATGAGAACTGCACCACAGAAGTGGTTCCTGGCCATTGCTGGTGCTGGTGAAGGAATCCCAGACTCCTTTGAGAATGACAACTAACAGCTGTGTAGCACCTGCTCTGTGTCAGGCCCTGATCTAAGCACTCACCACATATTATCTCACTTAACCAGCTGACTGCTGTGGACTCACCCCAATCCCCGCATAGAATTTCGCTTGAACACTGCCTCCGTGGCCTTCCCCCAGACATGTAGTCTGTGATTGTGGGTCCTCCTGCCCAGACTTATGGGTCAGAGGAGAACAGCAATGCCCACCTCCCCCAACTCTGCTTCCTGTAGAATTACTTGTGCTCCAGTTACTGAACAGGCTGTGTGTGGGGGGTGGGGGCAGGCTATTTATAGGCACTCATTCATCTTTGTTCAGGCTTCAAGGCCTCCAGTTCTGGGACCCTGGCATAGTAGGCAGTCAGAAATCCCAAGGCGGGAGGAGGCATTTCCTCTACTGGCCCATCCTGGAAGGTTCTGGGGACATAGCTGGTGTGGTGCAGTGAGGGCCCTTCCAAGCCTCCATGCAAGGCAGGGGACTAGCAGGGAGCTAGAACTTTGGGCCTGAGTGAGGGAGCCCAGGGTCTCCCACTCTGACTGCTGATCCTCAGAACCTCCAAGGTGGGGAGGGATGGAAGCTCTTGAGGGCCAGGCTGTCCTGCATATAACCCTTGCCTCACTTCCACCAGTCACCCGTTGCAGTGCTGGGGATGAAACCCAGGCTTCATGCATGCCAGGCAGGCGCTCTACCACTGAGCTATGTCCCCAGTTCTGTCCCTACATCTCTGACCACAGAGGCAACTTTTCTATCTCACCTCTCTGTCCCCTCCCAAAGGCACTCACGGTGCTGTGCTGGGTGGTCCCCTCTCGGCTGAAGTGACGTTCCACATACTGAGAGGAGAGGAGGTGACTGAAACAGCAGGCAGAATAGCAGGAGGAAGAAGGGGTCACTGGTGAGGCAAGGTCAGGTGGGTCCCACCCCAGCTCAGGATCCAGGTCCCCCAGGTCCCCCAGGCTCCCCAACCAGCCACCCTCAGGCTGTGTACTGCCCACCCCCACTGCCCTCCCCTGGGCTCCAGGCCACACTCACTGGTTCAGCTCCAGGTCCAGAGTGAAGTTGGAGTTGAAGGCTGGGATGACGAAACTCACCTGGGCCAGGTGCACAGGCTGGCATGGGGGAGGGCAGAGAGGAATCAGTCTGAGGGGCTTGAGGTGGGAGTTGGGTACCCCAGGATGGAAAGAGACCTAGGAAGGAGTGGCACAGCCCCAGCAGCTGAGGGGACCCGTCTTTGGGGAAAAGATACTCTGGACAAGGTCTTTGTTCTTGAAAACCTGTTCCGAGGTCAGGGGCAGGTGCTCATCCCTGTGCATGGTCCACCCCTCTGCCCTCCGATGTCCTCTGGGACCAGTCTTCTGGAGTGGCAGGGACAAAGGGCCTCATGCCATGTTCTCCCTGCTCTTGACAGCCCCTTTCCCCAGTAGAACAAAGGAAGGTCCCAGAAGTATCCTGGAAAGGGATAAGGGTCCCAGTCCAGGGGTGAACATGTGGGAAGTAGACCCTTGCTTCCCATCCTCATCCCCAATCTCCATAGGAGGCCTTGGATGGTGCAGACACAGGTGGAGTAGGTGGGAACTGACCACCAGGCCCAGGATGCTGGGTGAGGGGCCAGTGCCATCTGGACAGGACAAAGGGACTTGGCTACTCTACCCCCAAATCCATTGCCCTCTGCCTTGCCTGAAGCAGCTCATCTTTAATATTTCAATCCCATGGTTAATTTTTAAACACGGAAGTTTTCCTGATAAATTTTTCAGAGGGACCTATGCAGTGGGGCTGGGAGGCTCCAGGTTGCCATGGCAATGGAGGAGGCCTACACAAGATGGCTGCCCTCCTCAGCCTGGGTGTCCAGTTGCTGGGGCAGGGGGTGGAGAGGTGACAGCCTGGAGGGAAAAGCCCTCCAAGACAAGAAGGGCAGGAGAGCCTGGGCTAAGGGGAGTCAGCCTTCTCTGGCCCTGAGTCACAACCATCCTCAGAACACACCTGGAGACCCCCCACCACATCCCAAGCTGGATTTTATAAAAAAAACTTGGAAGCGTACATAGGAAAGGTCTGAGAAGGCTTGGGGGCTGAAGCCTGCTTCCCAACTTATCCGTTTAAGAAGATGGAGACCCAGACACCAAGACAGAGCCATGACACTCCTCCCTGTGTATGGGAAGCATCTGCTTCTTGCTGAGCTTTAGGCAGCAAGAAAATAGGCAGCTCTGACATTGTCAAGGCCATGGGGTCCCATAGCCCAGACCTAGTGATTGTCATCCACCACCTAGTCAGGATCAAGACTTACTGAGCACTGCTCAGGTGCCAGCTGCTGCTCTGAACACTTTGTAAGTATCATCATATTTGGTTTTCACAACAGCCCTGTGGGACAGATGCTATTTTCATTCCATCTGACAGATGGGGGAACTGAGGCACAGAAAGGCTAACTAACTTGCCTAAGGTCACTCAGTTAAGATGTGGTAGAGCTGGCCTGGGTAGCAAGACCTCCGAGCCCCAAGGACACTGACTCACCCCATCCCTCACCCTTGGCTGACCAAGGCTCCAAGTTCCATCCTGAGCCCCTAGAGCATCGATCAGACTCGAAATAGAAAGTCAAGGGCAAGGAGTGGCTGTTTCCTTCCACCCACCCTCAGCCAGGGCCAGCTCTGCTCTCCCCTCCCCCCCAGGCCCGGCCTGGCTCTATCTCTTCCCATCCTCACTCCCCCCTCCCCTCCTCTCCTCCACTCTCAGAACTATTCCTGCTTGTTCTGGCTGCCCAGAGAAGCAGCCTGCCCAGTCTCCTTGCCCTGACTGTACTCTCTCAGGCTGTAAACCTGCAAGGCTGACCCAGCAACCTCTCTGAGCCTCAGATTATTCCCACAGAAAAAGATGGGCACACTTCCAAGGCCGGGAGGTTGGCTTGTGGTGGGGTGACATCGTGGGCCTGGAGAATTTTGGCAGAACTGCTCCCACTCAGGAGGTCAGCAAATCTACCAACCTACCTGACCTCCTCTCTCTGTGGCACCCTCTTGGGAAAGGCTGGACCAATGAGGAGCAGTGCCAGATAAGGCAGCACCCCCCACCCAATCACCACAGCCTATGAGGCTGAGCTGAGCTGTGGAAGGGGGCAGCAAGGCCTGAGAGGATGCAGGCCAGGGGGTGTGAGTGCCACCAAAAGGCGGTAGGAAAAAAGGAGAGGAATGGCCTGACGGGGGCAAGGGGGGCCAGGCTCTGCCCTGTCTGAGGGGAGAGTCAGATCAGGCAAGCCCACCTCAGCCCTAGGACTGCTGCACCCTAGGCGTCTGAGGGAAGGGGAGGTTCCTACTGGCACCAGAGCCCCATGACCCCACAGGAGCTTCAGGCCAATGTTCGACCAAGGTCAAGTGACTCTCCTTTTCCAGCCTGCCTTCTGCCCCTGACCTGGCCCTGGCCTCATCCCATTATTCCTCAGCCAGTCCCTGGGGCCCTCCAGTCTTGAGGTCACATGCAGTCCTCCAGACACATTCACCTCTGTGCCCAGCTCAGCCCCACTCGGGATGGCCAGGCATGACCCAGTGCCCTGCACTTGCCTCTTGCTTTCCTGACCACCTGGGCTGCCATGTGCTCTAGCTCACTTGATCTCAACTGGTCCTCATTTTACAAATGTCAGGCTGAGGCTCAGGGAGAGAGACACTGGGGGGTTATAGGCCCAAGGTCACACTGGGTCATGAGGGCCACTGGGGTTGAGGATCCTGTTTGCCATGGCATCTGTAGGGCCTGGCAGGGTGATAGCCCCTCCACCTGAGGCTTCCCTGTCACTGATCCACCTACCTGTTTCAAGGAGACGGTGCCTCAGCCTTCTGCACCCCGTGTTGGGCCTAACCAGATTCAGGATACAGAGAGAAGGAGAAAGATTCTGCCTGAATCCCAAAAGTCCCCGAATCCCAAATCCAGATGTCTGGCCTCTGCTCCAGACCTAAGAATCCCAGTTGTGGGAAGGGGAATAAAGATCTTTAGGATTCCAGGTGCCCCAAGAAACTTGAGCATGCAGAGTTCTGCCCCCCACAACCACTAGGCACTACCCCTCAAGCCCCCACCTGCACTCCTGTCCTCTCCCCATCCCTCATCTATAGAGCTTGAGATGAGAGGGCCTGCCCGGCCTCTCGATCTTTGATACCCACTTCTTGACATATATATATATAATCACTAATTCACCTTCTTCCTGTGGGTGCCCTTTCATACCCTGGATTGAGGGCTCTGCTATCTTTCTCCCCAACCGGGGGCCACACTCATGTAGAGTAGAAGGGCAGCAGAAGGTCTGAGGAGCTGCTGAACCCTCAGCCTCAGTTTCTCCATGGGTAAAATGGGGAAGCAAAAGTCCTGTTTATCATGCTATAAGCATTGGTGATAATAAATAATACATGAAAAAGGATATGAGACAACTGGACAGGGCTTTGAGGAATTGGATAAAAGACGCCCCTGGATCCCCTCTGGTGACAGGGACATGCCCAAATGGTGGCATTGTGCTCCAGATCTGGATGAGTTGGAATGATTTACCTGTGAGGTATCTCACCCAAGGACATCCTTCTAGAATCTCCTCTCCCCACCATCACCTCTTGGGCCGGGTGGCTGCAAGCAGGAGGTAGGGACCCCACCAGACAGCTTGTTGGGGTAGGGAAAACCCTCCACACTCACCAGAGAACACATCCCAATGTCCCCCAACTAGGTGCTAATGCTCCATTTAGCAACAGGGCAGTGGATTCCCAAATAATGAGAACAGTTGCATGAATTTCCAATGATGGAATTTGACCTAAATTTTTGGGGACAGAGTCACCTCCTTACAGGGTCATCAGTCCCTCTGGGGACTGACACTGGACAGCTGGGTTCCTCCAGGCAGCCAGGAGGGTGCTTGGGTGAGGACAAGCCTGCAGGCCAGAGTCCAGAGGGTGGAAAGGACCTGTGATGCTGGCTACCTATGTTGTTCCTCAGGCCCCACCCAGAGCTGGACAGGTGCCCTCAAGTGCTCTGGCTCCTGTGCTCACCCCAGGTGCCTGGAGCCTGCCCTGCTCCAGGATGTTGTATATGGGACACTGCTCTGGCCAGGTCCCAAGCTGGACACCTGACACACAGCAGCCCAAGGAGTGGAGACTGCACTATGTTTGTTTGTGGAGGAGGAAGGGGCTTGGTGGCTTGCTCTGGTCACAGGCAGAAGCAGTGAAGCAGGACCTGCACAGAGCCTGTCCCACCCCGAAGCGAGTGTGCAGTCTTTCAGAGTGAAGTTCACTCTGTGGAAATGGCCCAGGTGAACAGACTGGGCGTCACACAAACCCTGCCATGGCCTCCAGCCACCAGCCCCCTCCTGGGAGCCCCTCCGGCCCCTGATCCCTAACGGAGCTACAATTTTGGCTGCAGAGACCATAGCACGGCCATGGGGCTCACTGCCTGTGATGCCCATTTTGCATGAGCTGGGGTCTGAGTCTCACTCAGTTCCCCCTACTCCTATGCAGCCAGAAAACCCACACACCACAGCACAGCCCTCCACAAGGGTGTCCTTTGGCCACATTTCCAGCAAACGCTGCTCTGGCAGTGACTTAACCAGCAACTGAGACCCCAGCCCCAGCTGGTTCAGATAAGCACTGTCTCCATGCCTGGGACCCTCCTCCCACCCTGCTCAGTTCTCCACAGCTGGCCCTCCCCTTGGTTTCCAAGAAGTCTGGGGTTCCCCAGGTCCAGGCTTGACCCACACAGTGTCTTCTCATGAATCAGAAAAGGTGACTCTTGGGTGCCAGGCAGCCTCAGGAGCCCATGGATTTCATTCAGCTTGCACAGATGCCTTTGTGCAGTGAAAAACCAGCCTAACTGCACTCTGGCCCTCTTGTCCTCCTGCCTCACCCCTCAGCTGCAAGCTCCCGGTGACCAAAGAGAGGTGACCAGTGGCAAAGAGAGGGCTAAGTGTCCTTTGTAACTCTCTCTGCTGGAATCCTGAGTGAGAGGTGGGCAGCCCACTGGCTCAGAATGCTGCCTGGGTATCAGTCCTTGACCCTGCTACTGAAGTACTGGGTGACCTGGGGTAGTTACTTCACCTCTCTGTGCCTGTTTCCCATCTGTGAAATGGGACTAATAACCCACCTCCAGGAGTTGGGATGAGGATTGAAGAAATTTCGACACATGAAGGCAGAAGACTGCCTGCCCAGCAAGGGCATCTTCCTGCCACCTTCCTCTCCCCAGACCTGCTTCCCCTCACTCCCAGCTTTTAGTACACTAAGCCCTTTTCCATTGACAGCTCCTGGTGGTAGTGGGGACTGAGATTTATCATCATCCTGAGTTTGGGGATCAGGAAGACAGGGTTCAGAAAGGGGAAGTGACCAGCCCAAAGTCAGAACAGGTTAGTGCCTGGGGCTCCCCACCACAGCCCTGCCAGCCAGCATGTGCCTCAGATCCCCCCACAGCACCAGGGGTCATGTGGCTGACTCCACAGGGCTCAGCTTCAAGTTCAAACCAGTGCAATGACTTAGGATGGAGCCAAGCAGAACCAGTGGGGCGCTACCTGCTGGGACCTGGCTCCTGGCTACACTGGCTCCATCAGACCCCAGCTTATGGAGCCAGAAGTGCTCCTACCCTGGGGAAAAATGCTAGGTGGGAGGTGGAGGGTTTGCCAGGCTCCTCCCAGTCAGGGGCCAATCTCCTAGGTAAGTCATGTCCCCTTTGACCTTTGTCCATCCTCCTTGCTCTGGGTGGGTTGGGGAAGTGGCCTTGTATCCAAATCCAGAGAGCCCCATGGGTCAGACCAGTGCCATGGGCAGAGCCCAGCTCTTGGAGAAGATTACTCCCAGCCCTGCTGCTTAAGATCCAATTGACTCTGGGCAAGTTATTTAACCTCTCTGAGCCCAAGTCTGCTCATGAGTGGAATGGTGCAGACAGAGGGTATCTGCCTAGAGATTTGAGAAGTAAGTGATGTAATGCACACTCAAAGCATAGCAGAGAGTCTGGCCCAGAGCAGTCCACAGCCTTGGCAGCCCTCTCCACCACTGGGCAAGTTGTCTGCCTCATGGGAAACCAAGGCACCGATAAGGGAGGGCCCTAAGCAAGTCCCTGGGAGGTTGCATGAGGTCCCTGGGAATTCTCAGTCACAGAGAGGAACCCCCTCCATTGGGGTGACCATTGTGCACAGACTCATAGAACTCTCTCCACTCACCATCCTGGCTGCTCAGATATCCCTTAGGTGTATTCAGACTCAGTCATTTGGATATGCAGCATGCATGCCATCCACTCACCCAGCAGGACAACACCCAAAGAGACCCCCAGCCCACCCAGCTCTACTGCATCCATCCTGGTCTTCCACCATAGCCTCAGCCTCCGCACCCCCCAGGCCCCTCTTTAAAGAAGGCCTAGGCTGAAGGAGCAGCCTACCCAGTTGGAAGCTCTCAGTTTTTAGCCCTACCTGGCCCCAACACTTCCTCTCAACTTCATCCTTTGACCCCGCAGTGGCATCACCTCTCCCCCAATCTGTGCTTCCTCTAGAGTTCTAGTGGTAAGACAGGGTCAAGTCCCCGCCAAGGCAACTGTGGGGTGCACAGTTCACAGAAAGCTGAATTAGGAACCAAATAGCAGCCAGGTCACCCCATCCCTGCACCTGGGACCATCCTCACTGCCCGTCCAGCCACCTCCCAGGAAGTCAGGGAAGGGGTTGAAGCTGGCCTCTACTACCATCTCTACCTCCATAGCCTCAGCTCAGGACCATTAGCCCCTTCCCCTCTCCTCCTTGTCTCTCCTTCCCTGCTCCTCCCCACTCACTCCCCTGAATGAGGGCCCATCCATTATGCATGTTCCTTCCTGCTCCACTCCATTTCTCGAGTATTCCCCACCCCTGCACCACCCCACACCCCTCCCCCTCCTCCTTAAGGGCTTTTAACCAAGTACATTAGGCAGGGCCAGATGCCAGTCTGACAGATGTCTGTAATGTTAGCCTCCCGTTTCCCTCCTTCCTCCCTGTGCCCAGCCCAATTTACCTCCCACCACTCCCAGCTGCCCCAACTTCCCAGACCTCAGGGCACCCCTCCTCTGAGTCTCTCCTCCACACCTCTTCTTTCTTTCAGGTCTTCACCACCCAGCCCTCTGCCGCCCCCATTGGCTTGGCTAACTTTCAGCTTCGAGCTCCTGGAGAGCCGAGGCATGCCCAATGAATATTCCATCTGGGTGATTATTATTTACATGATATTAATTAATTATTAATTGCAATTAATAACCTTCCTCTGGGAGGCAGGAGTGTGTGTGTGTGTGGGGGGGGGCCTGGCAGCTGAAAGGGACAGGGTGCAGATAGAGCTGGCATTTTCACATGCACTTGGAGCCTCAAACCATTTTCCAAGGCCAGGCAGGAAGCAAAGAAACAAGCCTGTCTGTGCACCCCAGGAAACTGAGGCAGGAGCATTATTTGTTCCAAGAAAGCTCACTGAAGTGTGTCTTTGGCAAGTCCTAGGAGCCGGAATCCCTGACCTGGCACTTAGCTACTTCTTTCTCCCTGCCTCCCTCCACACTGCCCAAGCCCTGCTTTGAGCAGAACCACTAGCTCTAGCAGGAAGGGAGGCAGGTGGAGGGTTGGCCTCAAGCAGAACTGAGACCCCCCCGCATGCCTGAATGCACAGGGAAGGGAGTTTGCACAATAATGAGAGGGGCCTGGGGCTGGCAGGCGCATGTACCCACTCCTGGGCTCCAGCCCCAGCTGATGGCCCATTATACAGAAAAGGAAGCTGTAGAGGCTGCGGCTGAGGAGGCTAAACCCTGGTTACTCAGGCCTCGGTGTGGACTTTGAGGCCTGCTTCAGCCCCCTGGCCTCACCACCCTGCCCCACTCACCGGGCCCCCTGGTGGCTCCTGACGAACCCTGGTGTCCAGCTGCTGCTTTCGGATCTCTCCGCCAGAGCTCTCCCCTACCAGGCGGCTGGGCTCTGTGACCTCGGGGGCTTCTGGGCTCCCCACATGGCGTGAACCCCTCCAGCGCAGAGCTCCACTGGGACCCCGGGCCCCAAGACCTGGGGAGACAAGGCCATAGCTGCAGGCAGATGCCCTCCATGGACCATGGGGCAAGAGCTTTGGAAACGGGGTGGGCGCACCCCAGCCCCCACTCTGCGTGGCCCTTGGAGTCCTGGGGGGATCGGGTGGGAGGATCTGGCTACCCTGCAGAGGAGCCACATGAGGAGGGGGCCAGAAGCTTCATCCTGCCCAAGTCACGACTGCCCCCCCACCCCAAATCCGCAGAGACCTGCAGAGTCGGCCGGAGGGCGGCAGGGGGATGGCCGCAGCGGAGCGGCCACATCGGGACAGGTGGGTGGACGCACCTTCCCTCCTCTCCCGCTCCCCCACCCTCCCGCGCTCTGGACCGGCTGTCACCCGGAACACTGCAGGAAAATGTGGCTGCAGCAGAAACCGCTGCAAAATCCGGGGCGCGGGGCTGGTCCGACGGGGGTCACTCACCGGGCGGGGGGAGCAGCGGCAGCAGCAGCAGCAGAGCCGCGAACGCCCAGCGCTGCAGCCGCCTCATGGTTCGCGCATAACCCTCCGGGTCCGGGGGCTGCGGCTGCGAGCGGCGCGGCGGCGGGCGGGAGGAGGACGGGGGACGGGGGCGGGGAGGCGCCCGCGGCGAGCCGGGCGGGGGTCGCAGGGTGGGGGTGGCGGGGAGGCGGCCCGCTCAGCGCGCTCTGGCCGCGGCCATCCCGGCGGGGCGGCAGGGCCGGGTTAAGAGCGGAGCGGCGAGCACGTGAGCCGAGGGCCCGCCCCCCCGCAACCCCCCCATCCCGGTCGCCACCACCCGAGGACAAAAGAGGCGCCGCCCCGGGACCCCTTTCCCAGCACCTCTGCGGCTCCCTGAGCAGGTGCACGGCGCACCCCGCCCCATCCCAAAGCCCCTCCTCGGTCACCCTTTGTCTGATGATCTGCGAGGATCCACAGATTTGTAGGGGGAGGGAGGCAGGGTGCAGAGGGTCCTCTCTGACTCCTATGTCCCGACTGGGGACGGGTGCGAGGGCGTGGCTCCTGGGCCTGTTCACCCCCAGGGTGTTGCACTCAGGAGAGGGCTGCCCCAGTCCAGACCGAACTGGAGCCACAGCTTTCCTACTGAAGCTGTGGGAAGGTGTGGTAGTGAGGGGGGACAAGGCTGGGGGACAGAAGGGGACAGAGGCCAACATCTACTTCGCACCTTCCCCGGGATCTGTAGTGCATCCGCACCAGGGCAGGTCATTGCAGTCCTCCCATACCCGAGGTTCAGACCCTTCCCATTCTACAAAGATGTCCTGGCCTCCAGAGATTGTTGTCACCTCAGCCACCAGGAGGGGCTGGCCTCCCCTTCTGGGATCCTGAGTCCCTCAGGTAGGGCACCCCTAATTGAAACTATCCAGGTGGTTTACATACTGTCAGCATGACCTGTTTCTGCTCCTCCTGGTCTTGTCTGAAATTTTTTTTTCCCCGTGGTAGTTTGAACTCAGAGCTTCATGCTTGCAAAGCAGGAACTCAACACTTAGAGCCACACGTCCAGTCCATTTTGCTCTGATTATTTTTGAGATGAGGTCTAGCGAACTATTTGCTGGGGTTGGCCTCAAACCACCATCCTCCAAATCTCAGCCTCACAATCAACTAAGATTACCAACATGACCTACAAGTGCCTGGCTCTTGTCCCAAAAGCAGAAGACACCTCTGGAGCCACGGGCTGCTCCTCTCCAGTCAGAACAGACTGCCTTGTCTGAAGAATACTGAACTTCCCAACCCACTTCCCCAGTTGTGCCCCCAAACACAGCTGCCCCAGTGGCACCTCTGAACCCAGCTCCTGGGAAAGATGGATTCCAATTACTGACCTCTCTGTTACAGGTCCTACAAACCAGTACCTGAGATGACATCGGACATGATCAGGCCTGATGTGGGTAGGGAGACTGTTGTTGAGGTCCCACCTGCACTCCCAAGCCCAGAGCTTTTTTTTGGTGGTACTGGGGCTTGAACTCAGGGCCTCATGCTTGTAGGCAGGTGCTCTAGCACTTGAACCACTCCTCCAGCAGCCAGAGCATTTTTTTGTCAACAGAGACAACAGGTCACTGAGGAACCAGAGGCAGGGAACCCCTTCCTGTCCTCTGCTTCCCCAGGCCACTGCTAGGGATAGGGGAGCTGCCTCTGGCTTGTGACAGCCTCATCTCCCCCTGCCCCCCCCAGCTCTATTTTAGGCCCAGGAGAGGTGAGAAGGCGATTTCCCAGGAGGCGCTGACATCAATGCTGGGAAGGAGGTGACTTCCCCCACTCCCAACCACCTGCCACTCTAGCCCCAGATGCTCAACAAGGCTGAGCAAATTCTTCCTTCACTCTGGAGACATTTCATAAACCTCTAGGATGTGAGTATGGAGGGGGGGACTCCCAGGAGTAAGGGCCTGTGTATGTGGTAGTTCCTGGGTCACAGTTACTCCAGGATGGGGAGACTGTGCCTTCAAGAGCTTCTCAAAGTTACACAGCTGCTCAGTAAGGCCCATTTCTCTTTGGCCCAACCCCCATCTGGAGCCAGAAGGGACTAGTTCATCTGTCTCCTTACTCCCCAAGTCAGCCACTTGGCACCCCAGATAACAAGACTGCCCTTCTCACTTCTGTACCATGCCCCAGAGTACATGGGGTAAGCCCATGTAAGCAGGTGTGCCTCCAGAGGCTAGGCAGGGCTTGAGTGTGAGCAACCCCAACATGTCTAAGATCTCACAATGAGCCATAATCTGAGGTCTAGGTCTTCAGCCCAGGCAGACTCTGTGGTCTTTGGCACCTTTGGCTTCCTGTTGGGGAGAACTTCCTGGTTTTGTGACTTTTCCCCTGGTGACACCCTGAATCAACTTCAGTGGGGGCCCAATCATTTGACTTGTTGGCCCCAACAACCACTTACCTTCCTGAGTTCTCAGCTTCATGCAGAATTGGCTGGACATTTTTTTTTTTTTCTTTTTTGGTGAGACTGGGGTTTGAACTCAGGGCTTTGTACTTACTTACAAGGCAGCTGCTCTACTGCTTGAGCCACATCTCCCATGCTGGACATCTGGACCCTCCCTTGTCCTTACCCCACTTCTCAGCTCCTTAGGTTCCACTTGCCCCCATCTTGTGCTGGTTCAGCTCTGCTACAGGTGCCTGGCCAAGTAGGGAGCTGCTTTCCCTCCCTTACTTTTCCTGCTAAGGTCTCTGAGGGTCAGGTCTCAGAGACAGGACAGTCAAGCTAGTGGCTCTCTATCAGCTGGGGACTGGCTGTTTTCTCCTTGGACTGGGGCAGACCTGTTTCCCCCCAACCCTGCCCCAAGACAGCTTGCTATGGGGTCCCCATCCCAATTGTATAAATTATGCCTGCCCATCACTTGAGGCTGGTGGTCAGTATTTTTGCTGTCTTGATGCTCCCTTGGAGGTCACCTTTAGGCTGCAGCCCTCCATAGAGGTTGGGCTCTGGTTTCCACCTACAGCCTTCTGTCAGAAACCTGTATAACCAGGAGACCTGGGGTATCCTTTACCCTGCAGCTCTTCCTGCCCAACCAATTCTTCACTAAAATTTTCCTGCAAAAGGGCCAAGCTGGGCTGAAGAGGGGCCCAGACCTTGTCTGGGCAACTGCAGGTAAGGGAGGGGTGTTGGCATGACAAAAGTGATTCCTGCCAGTGGAGCCATCCAGGCCTGGTGCCCACCCTGAGGCCTGTAGCACACACCAGGCCTGACAAGGGGGCCAGATGGTACAGAGGGTAAGAGCAGGATTTAACAATCCAGGATGCAGTCCCAATCCCAGCTCTCCTACTTACTGAATGTGTGACCTGGAGTAAGTCATCAACCTCTTTGAGCCTATTCATCTTCATAGTGTTGCCAAGAGAGAGAGGAACCAGTGGCTGAGCCTTGTGTTTTTATAGCAGTGCATGGCACATGAAAAGGGCTTAGTTAACCTGAGCTGATTTCCAAGGTGCCAGGAGGAAACCTGGTCTTGTCCAGGACCCAAGGCCCATTATGGCCTGGGAACCTTGGGGGCCTGCTCTATACCCAGCAATTTGGAGACTAGGCCTGATGATGCAATAAGGGGTGAGGGTAGAACTATTGCCTCTATTTTTCAGATTCAGAAAACCAAGTTTCAGGAGTTTGCCAAAGCTCAGTTAGGTGGCAGGACATGGACTTGAACTTTGGCCTGTGTGGCTCTAAAATTTACACTATAGGGTTCATGGAGAACACAGAATCTGTGATTTGAAGAACGGGAATTCCAGGGTAGGTACAGAAGCAGATAGAACTGCTCATGGTGCTCAGTGACAAGTGACCTTGCCCAGCTGGATGGGATTGGGGGCGGGGGGTGACAGAAAGCATGAGGGGGCAAATGGATGTTTGGGGCAGGACATTCAGGAAGGAGAGAAACAGACTTGAAACTGGCTGGCTGTGACTGAGAGGCAGGAGTTAGAGAATGCCAAGAAACTCAAGGACAGTAGGGATAAGGGGAATCAAGGTCTACTTTCAAGGTCAAATTCTTCAGGCTGTGACTGTGTGGCTGTAGCATGACAGGAGGATGTAAGCGATCTGATGGAGGTCATGACATTTTACTTTTAGGAGAAACTTTGATCTCATCTACATTCATTTCAAGATGAAAATAGTAAAGGGACTTGCTTGAAGTCACAGTGTGAGTTAGGACTGGCCAGACCCTGCCTTCATTCAGCAAAGCTCTGCTCCTGTAAGATTAGAGTTCACAAGGCCATCAGTGGTACATTTACCAACACAAATCACATCTGCAGAACTGAAAAGGACCAGTGAGAAGAGGTGAGAAACAGATCTTGGAGTGGGTCTATAGAAAGTAGTTATAGCCGGAGGGTTTTTCAGGGCCTGGGAGTTGACTGGAGCAGACACCCAAGGTATGAGCTGAGTGAATGGACAAGTGAGAATGAGCAATGATTGGGAAGGGGGTGGGTGGGAAGAACTAGGCTTAAAGTGGGGTTGCTGGGACTGAGGTTCCAGGGGAAAAGGAATCTGACTTTGGTTATCAGCAGTCTATCCAATGACTGTAGAAGCCATCCCCAGTGGAATGCTGCAGGCAAAGCCACTTTGGAAGTTCAGAAGGGGGAAGAGGAAGATACAGAGGTAGTGGGTATAGGCTGCAGGCAGTAGCCAGAGAAGAGGAAGAGCCTTCTTCAAACTGCTGAGTCAAGTATCTTCCAGAGTGGTGGAAGATAATTGAGTTTTCTGGCAAAGGAGAGGTGGCAAGTCTGAGAAGGAAACTGACAAGGATGGCTAAGTAGGTTGGAGAGTACAAGGCCTTCCACTTGGGGAGGAAGGACACCGACCCTCTGAAAGAGAAACAAAGAGCAAGATGATGATGAAGGGAGTGACAGTCAGATAAGGCAGAGCCTACTGAGTCTAAGGTAATCTGCTGGGTTGGGGGTGGCTGGGAAAGTAGATATGAGAAGGTATGAACAGTTCTCAGGTCAAGAAGCCCTAGAGAGGCCTGGTTTATGTCAGGCAGCACCCATCCTAGTCAGGTGTTTGGGGTTCCCCAGTAACCTAAATCTACAGCCTGGAAGCCAGAACAGACAAATGAATGCAGTGTTTTAACACTGGAATTGTGACCTGGCAGAGATGTCCAAGGTTGCAATCAAAGAGATGGACCAGATGTGAAATGGGGGATTGTCTTGGTGATGGCGAGGAGGGCATCAGAACCTGGTGCCATTGGCTCTGAGTGTGTAGTATGTGAAGATGCTGATGAGTCCCGGGGAAGGGATGAGAGGAAACTTCTTCCTCCAGAGGGGTGTCATCATGAGGAACAGGCACAGGTAACTGACATTCCCAGCAGGGACCAGAAGCAAGCCACTGTCAGAACCTGGGGAAAGGAGACAGGGTCCGGAGCAGGAATTTCCATGGGCAGAGTTTCCTTGGCAGTGGGTTACAAGCATGCCCTCTGTAGGTGACTACTCACCAGGCAGGTAGGACTAGGAAGAGGAGGAGGGCGAGGGGGAAGGACAGATGCCCTCACTCCCCTTGGGCATGGAGTTAGGCAAAATGAGGGTAGTGGCATTCATACACTCTTCACTTGCAGGGTCCTCACTCCTGCCTTGGGTCACTGAAGGGTAGGTTGGGGACCAACACATTACACTCCTGTCCCATCTCTTTGCTATTTGTTATCAACAAATTTATTTACATTTCCTGAATCAAGATTAATTGTGAAACTTAACAGGAATGGCTTAAAAAGGCTAAAGAGGGCCTCTAAGGAGGGTTGTACACACAGTTGCTCTATTTCCAAACTAACAACTCAGGTCCTCACCCACAGCTATACCCCCCTTTCTTCCTCTGAAAGGAGACACAGAATAACACCAGGCTTCCGGCAGCTTCAACATTTAAAGAGACAAACACACAGAGGCAGAGAAGGGTGAGAACTACAGTACAAATTGTGATTAAAAAAAAAAAGTGGTCAAAGAATCGATAGCAAACCCATTTCTGTCTCTAGATTAATGGCTTGGCTTTAAGAAATGGGGAGAGGTCCTTTGGGAAGGAGGGAGAAAGAGGAAGGGAAAAGGGTGATGCAGTTGCTGGCAGGTGAAACACTAACCCTGGAACAGCAGAACTCCAGGTGGGTAGCCTGAGCTGAGACGGCAGAGAAGAGCTGAGAGGGTCCCCAGAGGGGACCTGGCTCAGGGGAAAGGTCAGTGCTGGGCCCCAACTAAGTGCATGGGGGAGGGAGTGCTGTAAGTGCTGCAGCCTGAGCCCCTCCTCTGCTTCATATGTTCCTGAGGATCCGTGTATGAGCGTGGGGGGCTGGGGGAGGGGACATAAACACAGGCATTTTAGAAAGCAGGAGAGACCACATGCTTGCGAGAAAGGAGAATGGGGTAGGGGTGGGAAACACCAACAACTAACCCTACTAACCCTAGGTGCCACAAAAGAGGCAAGTGCCTGGGGGTGGGGGTGGGGGGCAGGAAGCCCCAGGCCTCCACCACTCCAGCTTCTTTGTGGTCCCTTCCTTTGCCAACTACCTCCTGGCGTAGGCAGCTGGCTACAGCTGGCCAAGCCTTCTGTAGAATACTGCCTGGCTAGGATCACAGCTGGAGGTAGGGGGAGGAGAGGACAGTCCCAGGCCAGATTTCCTCTATCCTGTCCAGAAGACCTAGTGGGTAGAAGGTCTTGTCCTGTGTCCCTATAAGCTGAGCATGCAGCTGCCACTTGCGCCTCAAAGGCTGAGACCAGGGCTCCATCTGGCTCTTCTGGGAAGGTTCTGGGGTTCTGCTCCTCCTGCTACCCTGGCTGGGCCCTGGCCAGTAGGTAGACCCTATGGCTATCTGTGGCCCTGCAGTTGGGAGATATCAGGGACTCACAAGAGCAGCTCTCTGCCAGCACTGGGTGGGGGTTGGGGCTGGGGGACAGGGAGACAGGGCATTTGGAGCGGCTGGGGTGCCCAGAGCCATCAGGAACAGCAGGCTCCTGTGCTGGCTGGCAGAGGGTGGGAGGGGGGTGGGCAAGGGAGACTGGCTCTCTGCTGGCCCTCCTGCTGATAAGTGCAGGTGGGCTGACAGCCGGCCTGGGGCCGTGGGGCAGCTGGAAAGTCCGTCATCACGCTAGGAAACAAAGCCAGGGGCTGCACACTTAGAATCCTCTGATTCTGGGAGCCATCCTCCCCCAGGCCAGGGGGGCTGTGTAGCCCAGAGCTCTGCTGGTCTGTCTGAGTATTGGCAGGGGAAGGAGCCTGGAAGGGAGAGGCAGGTCTGTGGGTGGCACAAGGGCAGGAGGGAGGCTAGGGACCTGGATTCATTGACCAGAAGGGGAAGGGAGAGAAGATGCCTGCTACCAGTTGTTCTAGCACCACAAGGGCTGGTGACTCTTGGGACAAAAAATGAGGCATGTGACCAGGAGGCCCCTGGTCTCTTCTCAGCATTGCCACTGGGGAACTGAACCTTCCGCTTGTGGCCAGCAAGTGCCAGGTCTGGGCCAGGGGAGAGGTCCACAAAACCAGAGCTGGTCACGAGGCACTGGTTAGCAGGGCTCCCAGACACTGGTGTTCCTGGGGGGTTCACAGACACACCAACTGATGCCCTTGGCTCCTGGCAGCTTGCTACTGGTCCAGATACCTCACTGGTCCCTGCAGGTTCAGCTGGTGTCTTTATGCTGTTCACTGTCCCATCCTGCTCCGGAGTACCTGGGGTTTGACCACTATCTTCTTTCTTCATTCTGGGAGATGCTGCCCTGGGATAGGAGAGCTGGCTGGGGGGCACAGTCTCAGGACAGAGTGGGTCACAATCAGAAGCTGGGGAACCTGACTGTCTGTGGGGGAGGAGGGGAACAGAAACACCCAGTGAGCTGCAGACCTCAACTCCAGAGAGACAGCAAAATGGAAACCTCTTGGGTTGGGGCTGAGGGCAGCAAAGGTGGTTTTTTTTTTCCCAGGATGGTATACCCCTTCTAGGTTTTAGTGTGCTGATGAGAGAGCTGCTGACACTGGGCCTGTGAAAGGCCTCTTCCTTGGGTCTGATGCTGTAGTGGCAGCCAGTGCTCTGTGTGCTTTTCTTGGCTCTGAGGCCTGTGGTTGGGTTTGGCAAGAGGAACAGGTTAGAGGCTATTCCATTTAGTGACTTCATGGAGGAGGCTGTGTCCTTTAGAGGCTGCAAAAAGCAGCACAGACCCTGGCTGTCCAAGATCTGCAGAGGGAGAGATCTGGGCAACAGGTGAAGTCATAGTCCTAGGTAGTAAAGGTTCTGCTCATGGTGGGCAGCAGGGGGAAGCTGGGCTCTGAGAACCCTAGAATTCCCACCAAGCCCCACACAATCTTTCTCTCTGGGGGAAAATTCTAGAAAGGGAGAAGGACCTTGGTTGTCACCTATTCCAGAAGGACCCAGAACTATGCACATACCCCCTTCTAGCTGGCCAGAACTACTCAGTCTCCACCATGTCAATGGCTACCCCCAAAACAAGAGAATGGTGAGAAGGAAAGGGGAAGAAAGAGATATGTTACAGTCTGGTCCCTGTTGCTGCCAACCTGAGGTCCTTCCCATGTGAAGCGGGTAACAGGGGCATGAGAATGCGGGTATACCTGTAGCTGTGGCACTCACCTGGGGAGGGTGGCCCAGGAGGGAATGTCTGCAAAGGTATGGCTGAGCTGGGTGATGATCTGGTCTACTTCTGCATATGAATGAGCTCCAAGGGCAAAGCCTTGGTGCTGGGCACTCTGAAGATGCTGCCCCAGGGTGAAAGGAGACATAAGGCATTAGACAAGGATGGGGTGAGACAAGCAGAGTTCACAAAGTGGTCTCTGGCACTACAGGCCATGTCAAGGAGGAAACTGGGCAGGCAAGGCCCCATCCTTGGTGGGCTGGGCTCCCTCGGGACAGCTGGGGAGCAGCTGCCTAGTGGGGAAGGAGGGGCTCACCACATGGAGCTCCACAAAGGTCTCCTGGCAACACTCGCAGTATCCTTTCTTCCTCCTAGGTAAGGTGTGTGTAGCTGACTGCAGGCTTGGCTCTTGGTCCTTGAGTCCTCTGGGGGAGGGCAGAGTGGAGGCAAGTGGTCACTACTGGGGTCCTGCCCAGCAGGGGCTGCTGCTTAGGACCTGGAGCACAGGCCAGGGAGGGGAAGGATCAAGATGGGGCCAAGGGACCAGGTATGTCTACCCTATACTTGGTACCACTCATCTAAGGTTGGCAGGAGAGCAACATGGAAGAAGAGGCCTCCCTGTGGGCACCCCGTCCTATCGGTGCTCTCTTTGCCCCAACATGAGTGCAAGTAGCAATGGCTGCTGTAAGAATTCCTTATAGGGTGGTGGCATGGCTCAAGTGGTAAAGACCCTGCCTTGCAAGTGCAGAATTCAAACCTTGGTATAGCAAAAAAAAAAAAAAGAGAGAGTAAGAATTTCCTATAGGAATTCAACTGTGTGCTTAGACCTACCTCACTCTGACCTGCCAGATGAGAAGGAAAAGATTTTCAACAGCAGTGAGGCAACTGTTCTGCCCTTAGCCTTCTCCATCAGGTATGTCCCTCCCTCAGGCTGGCTTGCCCTCTCACAGCTGCTACCTTTCACTGAGGACTTTCAAATATGTCTCAAACCTGTCTTCTCATTGGAACTTCAGCCCTGTATTTTGAAAGCCTGAAAGGCATTGCTATTTGGCTGTCCTAACAAACTTAACAAGTCTAAAACCTTCCCCTTTAAAGATGACATACAACATAAACCCCAGAAAACACATAGAAAAGCTGATAAACTGAAAAACATACGATTTTTATTTATTTTTTTTTTGGCCCTAGGGTTTAAACTCAGGGCCTACACTTTCAGCCACTCTGCCAGCCCCTTTTTTGTGATGGGTTTTTTTGAGATAGGGTCTTGTGAACTATTTGCAAGGGGTGGCTTTGAACCACGATCCTCCTGATCTCTGCCTCCTGAGTAGCAAGGATTACAAGTGTGAGCAATAGGCACCTGGCTAAAACATACAATTTAAAAAAATATATACATGGCAAAAATCATAAGCAAAGTTAAAAAATAAATTACACGTCTGGATTAAAAAAAAAAAGTTACATCTAGGCCGCGTGCAGGTGTCTCATGCCTGGAATCCTACCTACTCAGGAGGCAGAGATCTGGAGGATCACAGTTCAAAGCCAGCCTGGGCAAACAGTTCCACAAGACCCTATCTTGAAAAAAACCCTTCACAAAAAAGGGCTGGTGGAGTGGCTCAAGGTAAGTCCTAAATTCAAGCCCCAGTACCTCAAAAAAAAGAAAAGAAAAGTTACATCTAACAAAAGGCTCAGTTCCCTAATGTATGAGGGATCCTTATAAGTCATTAAGAAAGTAATAAATGAACAGCTCACTAGAAAAATGAGAAAAGGATCTGAAGCAAGTTCACACAAAATCTTTTTTTTTTGGGGGGCAATGGGGTTTAAACTCATGGTCTCAGGCTTGCTAGACAGGCACTCAACCACTTGAATCACTCACTCTACCAGCCCTTTTTTGTGATGGTATTTTTTTGAGATAGGGTCTCTTGAACTCTGCATGGGCTGGCTTCAAACTGCGATCCTCCTGATCTCTGCCTATGGAGAAGCTAGGATTACAGGCATGAGCCACTGGCACCTGGCCAAAATCATTTAAATAATGATCAAACATGAGAACACATTTATGAAAATCACAGTCATACCGAGACACAGTCTTCCATCTACCTGGTTGGCAGATGCCCAGCCTGACAGCATAGTATATTATGCAAGGGGAAGGGGAAATGGCATGGGAGCCTGTAATCTGCTATCACTTCCATGAAAAGCAATTTGCCACACTGATGAAAATTAGAAATGCAGGTACCATTTGACCCAAGCTCTTCTACCTTTAGGTATTTATCCCACAAATACCTGAACAGTTGCAAATTTACTCTGAACATGATTATTCACTGTGGCTAATCTATGCATCAATTAATAGGAAACTGATTAAATAAAGTACAGCATATCTGTACAGTGGCATACTTCACAGCCCACAAAGGGAATAAGGATACTTTTTAGTAATAGTAGGAAACTAACTTAAGATACAGTAGGTGGAAAAAAACAAGTCCCAGCACAGTGCATCCTGTTTTCCTCTTTATGAAGTTAAGAAGAGCAAAGGAGGTCATGCACATGGGTGCCTGTGCAATATCTCTGAGGATAGGCCCAAGAAACAGTGGCTGTGGAATGCACTTTTCATTTTCAACACTTCATAATTCTTGAATTTTGAGCCAAAATAATTTTTTTCAGACAAGGTCTCACTATGTAGCCTAGGTTGGCTCTGAACTTGTGATCCTCCTCTCCTGCTTTAGCCTCCCTAGCACTGGGATTACAAGTGTGCACTACCACACCTGGTTTAATAATCATTTTTTAAAAATGTAAAATTAAATATTTCTTCCAACACAGACTTTCTGCACACACGTGTGTGTGTGTGTGTGTGTGTGTGTGTGTGTGTGTGCGCACAGACAGAGCTCTAATGTTCCATATGGGCCAAATCTGAAGGTGTGGCTCAAGCAGTAGAACACTGCTTGATAACTGTGAGGCCCTAGCTTCAAATCCCAGTCTCACCAACAAAAAACAAAACATATGGGCCAAATCCCTGCCCAGGCTCCTCACAGGCAGACACCAAAGCTGCACTGCTTCATCATCCTCCCTTTACAGCCTCTCAGCATTTCTGTAACCCCATGGGCACTCCAAGCCTAGCTCCCCTGTCTCCCATGCTTAGGCCCACCTCCTCACAGGCTCTCCCTACTATCCCCTGCACCTTCTAGGAAAGGAATGAAGACATTTGGGACTTATTCTCAGCTAATTTTCCTTGCACTCCCCCTGCCCCCCACTGCTACATTTCCTTTCTCCCTTTTCCCACCTTCACTTCTTTACTAGTAGCTTTAATCTGTTGATGGAACCCACAGGCTCTCCATGGCCCCAGGAGCTCTCAGGCTGAAGGTGCCCTGTTTTACTGTTCTAACCCATGAACCAATTCTGTGGCTCAGAAGTTAGAAAGGGTCTGAAAGGGTGCCAGGTGTGGTATGAACATTTATAAGCCCAGTACTCAGGGGGACTGAGGCAGGAGGATCAAACTTTGAGGTCAGTGTAGGTTATACAGTGAGGTCCTGTCTCACAAAAAAAAAAAAAAAAAAAAAATGAGTATGAGAAGGCATCTAGTCCATCACCTGAACTGACTTCTCTATTTTCCTAGCAAAGGTTCAAATTCTCGGGCTGGCAGAGTGGCTCAAGTGGCACAATGTCTGCATAGCAAGTGTGAGGCCCTGAGTTCAAACACCGGTACTGCCAGAAAAAAAAATCTCAAACATCTGTAAAGCAGGAAGGAGAATTAACAAGCTGCACACCCATATGATGCAGCAAGTTTCCTGGCCCCCCAGCCCCTTAGTTATTCCTTATGTAAAGTTCAACATGTCTCAAACTTGGATGTGCACTGAAATCATCTGGGAATTTATGGAACGCAGCTTTTTTTTTTTGGTGGTGCTGGGGTTTGAACTCAGGGCTTTGCACTTGCTAGGTAGATGCTCTACCATTGGAGCCATACCCCCACCCCAAGAATGCAGCTTTTAGAGCTCTTATCATCAGAGATTCTGATTCTGTAGGTGTAGATAGATTCCAGACATCTGCATTTTTGGGGGTGGGGAAACCTCTCTGCATTTTTAATGGGACCCAAGATACCATTTGAGAAACCAGTCTGTTGCCCTCTGGACACTTCAGTCAAATTCTTCAGGAGGGGTGAAGAGTAAAATGAGTATTCCTAGTGTCTCTTCTCTGGGCTAAGTTCCCAGAACAGACTTTGCCAAAGGAGCAAACAGATGGCCACTTCCAAATCTGACCAGCAGGCCCCTGAGGTGGAGGACTTTGGCCTGTAACCAGTCCTTGGGATTCAGGAATAAGAAAGACCTACCTAGTATGATGTGAGCTGTCTGGGGTCATTGGAGCCTCAAATGGACTTGCATCTTTGGGTCCCAGAAAAGAAATTTCAGGAAAGGATTTAAACTGATGGTGGAAAGGACGAAACTTCCTGAAACACAGAAAACTTTCTCTTTGACTATAGTGGGGAAGGCAGAAGCTGAGGAAGGGGAACTAGCCCAAACTCTCTAGAATTCCAAGAGCTGGGGGCATAGCTCAAGTGGGAGAGCGCCTGTCTAGAATTCCAATCCTGTCATCTGTAAAGTTCTAAACCAGAACTCTTAATCAGCCCTTCTTTCTTTTTTTTTTTTTTTTAGGGTACTGGAGTTTGAGCTCATGGCCTACACCTTAAGCAACTCCACAAGCCCTTTTTTGTGTTGGGTTTTCTCGATATGGTCTTGAGAACTATTTGCCCAGGCTGGCTTCAAACCCAGATCCTCCTGATCTTTGCAGGATTACAGGTGTGAGCCACCAGTGCCCAGTCTCTTATCAGCCTTTCTAGGTTAAACTAATACTATTAACTATGCTAACCCTGTGTGCTTTTCAAATGCATTTACACTCACTGTCTCATTTGAATCCTGTAAGTGCCCTATGGGCTGAATGGAATAAGTGGTGTTACTCTATATTACAAGAGAGCAAGGGAAACTCAAAAGGTTCTGTGACTTGCTCAAGACTAGTAAGTGGATAAGACTAGACTAGAAGCTATGACTCTAGATTCTTGATCTAGTTCTTCCCATTTTGTCTCTTGAACCTACACCAATCTTCAAGGACTCTAGAATGACAGAACCTAAGTGGAAGAATGTTTAAGCCAGAGTGTTGAGTTTCCTGTTCTGTGAAGGGAAGCATTTTTGCACTAGGCTGGTCCTTGGTACCATCCACAGATTGGTGTTCTCAATGGAGAGGAGAGGCACAGTGAAGGTTCTGGATACTCAGCCTTGTATCAAGTTCTGGCAGTTTGCCTCAAGTTGCAAACATTCAGGAGACGTCCAGAGCCAGAACTGATTTTGTGTGCTTGGCAAATTCTGACTGAGGCCACTGCCAGGCACACGTTTGGTTGCAGCAGCCCAGGCTGGGGGTTAGGGGAGTGTAGGCCATGGTTTCCTAAGGGCAGGGTTAGAGCCCTGTGGTCTTAGAGGGAATTAACAAATGAGTCTTTTTATATCCTTAAGGAGAAGAGAGTTGTTCACAACTCTGTCACCTTTCTTTCTTTGCTTTGCTTCTGCTTAGGAACTTGAAATCTGACTAGGCTAACAGGCTCTGAAGAGCACCTGCTTCAGAACAGTACATGAAAGAATTATAAGAAAACTCAGCTCCTTTGGATCTCCTCTGGCCTATGATGTCAGCAGCATGCAAGCTATGTACTCCATCTGGTGTCGGTGACATACCTGTGCCTGCCATGTGCTGTGCAGATACTGAGGCATGATAGGGTCTCTCAGCTGCAGCATCTGAGTCCCAATTCCTGTGTTTATGTAGTTGTAAAGGGGTTAGAGATTGAAGAACATGTGTCCATCCCTCTGGAAAGGAAGGGAGTGCCTCGATATCCTCCCTGTGTGCTTTCTACTCACTTTGGGCTATCAGAGTCAATTCTAGCACTAAGAAGGGAACTGAGGCCTGTTAGGAGGATGGGCAGGCATGCAGGCTCCAGGGCTGGGTCTTTAGGTGCCCTGGCTGAGGCCGAAGGACACGGAAAATTTTGGTTCTAGTAGTCTCTACTGGTACACATGGACTTACTTCCTTCGAAAAAATGTTTTGTTTTGCAACTATAGATTCACATGGGCTTTTGATCTAGTACTTACTGAAGCCTCAGTGGTAACCAAGGTGGCTGCTAAGAGCTCATCAGGTTGACAGAATCAGTGTGACCCTCCTGCTTTAGGTAAGAAGGAACCATAATGGTGTATATAGGGCAGAATGGAGGAATACATGGCAGAGTAGTCAGGCCTCCTGGCTTCTTGCCTTGGGCTGCAATTGGCTAGAAAAATGGTACACGTGTCCCTTACTTTCTCTGACCTCGGTTTTCCCACTAGGAAGAAGATGGACTTTTCTCATGTTTTCATTCAGGGCTGACATGAGATAACATGCTCCAGAAAAGGGCTTTTCAAAGCTGAATGGAAAGTCTTCATCAAGCACAAGGTGGTTTGATGAAAGAATCCCCAATGCCACTCCCCACCAACCCTGCATCCACACTTCAGTCAGGATGGTGCTAGGACCATACTAACACTGTGATAGGCCAGTATGATTTGACATTAAGTGTCAGTACATGCCCAGGAAGAAAGCAGCAGCAAGGATGAGCATGGATGGTACATCACAAGCCCATAAAAGCAGAGTATGGAGTGGAGGTACTTCACACACAGTTCATTAACCTCTGATTCATCTCCAAGAGGACTATCTACTGCAATAATTGCTACCCTCAGAGGCTCCCCCTGGTCTGCAGAGACTTCTCTCTGATGGTGGGAGAAAACAGCTCTTAGGGAGACAGAGGTGAAAAGCTGAGGGGGGCTCCATGTCTCTGTGTCAGCTTGGTTTCCCTGAGTAACTCTCATTTCCTCCCTCTTCAGTGCAGGCTTGTTGGGGACAAGCAGAGAGGGGGTGTCCCACTTACTGGTTCACATCTTCAATTTTGAGGAATGGTGCCTTCAATCTAGCCACTGCAAGGGGAAAAAATGCACACATTAGCTACTTGTCTGCCCCAGTGCAGGGCCTGCACTGTGCACACAGGAAATGCTCTGAGAGACAAGGCTCTACCAAAGCTTTTCCAGCTGGCAGAGGTGAAGACCCCCTCCCTCTCCTCAGCCTCTACCTCAGAGAGACAGCATTGCACCCCTGGGCGGGGAGAGGCTGCAGGGCAACTGCAGTCTTAGACATGCCCTCCTTCATGTGGATTCTGGAGGTTGTCAACCACCAAGAATGCCATCATTAGAAAGCTGGCTGCTAGGAGATACCCAGGCTCTGCTGGCCTCTGCTAAAAGCAGGGTTGAGGTTCCATAAAGTCCAAGGTCCTTCCTAGACTGTGGCTCCTGGTGCTGCAGAATCCCAAGGGACCCAAAGACATTCCCTGAGCAGAACTCTCCATCAAGACTCTGGGTTTTAGGGAGGAGAGCAGAGTAGAAGGGTAAAAAATGTTTAGTGATCTTAGTAGTAGGATGGTAGAAAAATATCACAGGTGAAATCTGGTTCTTAAAAAAGTAAGACCATTTGGGTGCTGAGAAACCAAATTTGGAACCAATTAATCAAGAGAGTCATTTCCTATCAGTTAGTTATTTGCATAGTAATCTCTCAGGCATTACGAACCTCTTCTTTCAGTGACCAGTTCTGTCAAAGGCATAGCAGACAGGCTGGAAGCCTGGGCAGACTTAACAGCCAGCCACAAATATTCCCAATCCCACTGGAGGACATCCTAGCACCCAAGCAAAATGCAGCCTTTTCTCCTTGGTTAGCAGCAACCATTAATTACAGTTTGGGGATGATTTCTTGTCTTTCTAATTAACTAAGACAGTGATTAAAATCATTCCCCCACAGACTTCCTTGAATTTCCAGCATGAGAAGGTGCCAAGTAACTTTTCTTAGCTCCTGCTTGTGCATGAATAAATGCCACTTAAAGAGCATCTTTGGGAGAAACATCCAGGGGGAAGAAACTCTCCTGCTGTCCAAGAGGAGCCAGGAGATGGAGTCCATCAATCTGCCTGTTTGTCAGTTTCAGGGAGTTTGGCATTTCCGAAAACGGTAGGCAGCTGTCAAAATGCCCACCCCAAACTGCTACTGAATCAGAAGAAAAGGACGATGAACTTCAATTAATGCCCAGGAACAGCCAGAGAACACGGGAACCAAAGCACCTGCATGAGGTCCTGGCTCTTGAGAAACCCGGCAGGTCTGCACTAGTATTTGGATGTAATTTCACTTGCCCCAGAGATCTGAGGCCCATGTCCTGCAAACATGAGGGGGCAACACAAGCTGGACTCACTTCCTGCCATAGAAAAGTGAGCAGATGCTGCCTCAGAGGGAGTCGTGGGAAAATGTTTATAGAGGGAGGGATTGCAATTAGATGAGGGAAAGCTGCCACACTGACCTTTCCATGTTCTTGACTCCACTCCTGGACGTGTTCCCTAAATGGAAAGGGAAAATAGGTTAAGGATGTGAGGGAGCCACGGGGGTCGAGGAACTGGGCCTGATAGGCCGAGTTGCTGCCAGTCTGTCCCACTTTGCTTCCTGCTGTTGGGAGGCCTGCAGAAACAGACTCTCAGGCCAAGAGTCAGAGCAGACCTGAGCACAGACATTCTCCACCTCACCAGCACCACAATGAATGGGGAGCCTGTGTGTGAATCTGAATGGCATCTGACTTTGTGGAGGGGATGCAGGATGGAGCAAAGAGCAAGTGCTTTGGAGTCCCTCAGGCCTGGGTGGGACCTGGAGCTGTGCCACCCGTAATGTGCGAAGCATCCACCTATCTGACAGGATGCGGCCTAGGTGGAATTAAAGCATGTGAAAGACCTGACACAGAGTAGGTGCTCATTAAGGACAGCTTTTTCCTCCTCCCTCCTCAAATGGCAGCTTTTATCTTCTAGGCACCCCAGGTCACCTTACAGATGAGGGGAAGACAATGGACATTTGCTTTCCAGTGCCCATTTTGTGTACCCTGACTCTATGGGCCAAAAAATCATTTAACCCAAGCTTTTTAATAAAGCTGATATTAAAAACTAAATGGAATAAAATAAAAAGTGGCTCAAGAGCTGGTAGAAAAGTGGGCAGGAATGAAAGTATCAGTGGACCTGTGACTGCCTGTGCCTTTGGGCCCAGGGCAATTCCAGATTCTCCTCTGGCCACACCTCCAGGTCAAACACAAGCCAGAGAAGCCTGGTACTTTCTCTTGTGTCATTCCAAAAGACCCAAATATCTACAAAATGGGTTATTAAGGTAAAGCAAAGTATAAATACTATGCATTTGTATAAAGGAGGGCAATTTTTTTTCTTCATTTTCAGTACTGGGATGGACCCCAAGGACTCATGTATGCTGGGCAAGAGTTCTCCAGAGCTAAACCCTCAGCCCCAAGGGATTTTTGACATGGTTGCTTGTATGTTCATGGAGTCCTAGAAGGATACCTGATAAACTATTTACACTGTTGATGTCAGGAAGGAAGCAGGTGGCTAGGGAACAGAACTTGGAGTGGGGGGAAGAGATTTTTTGTTGTATACTTTTTATAATTTTGAACATAAATCTGTTTAGCAGCAGCACCACCCCCAACCCCACCCAAGCTCTTCCATGGGGCTGTGGAGAGAGGGGCGTCAGAGGCTGAGCACACCAGCCACTTTAGATGTGGCTTGCTACTTTAGTCCCTATTCCTGGATGCAGGGCCTGGGTGGATCTGAAGGTTCAGTTCTTCCTCAAATTTAGGCTTGGATGCAGACACTGTGGCTTTAAATGAGCCTGGGCTCTCTCTGTGGCTCTGACTCTCTGGCCATACTGGGGTTTGGATTGAGGTCTTGTGCTTTCTGGGCAGGCACTCTACCACTTGAGTCGCCTTCAACCACCCTAGGCTCTCTTGATGGGGCACACATAGTTCTAAGACTAGCAAAAAAGGGAAAAGTCAAACAAGGATTTGGAAGGTGACAAATACTTGAAGCTATGATACCTCTTCTTCCACCCATGCAATCTTCTTCCCAGGCCAAGCGCTGTCCCCAAAATGGCAGCCTGGCCAGTGGATCATGAGCATTTCCACATTTATCTAGGCCAGGATTGTCCACAAGCAGCCCCTGGTCCAGGCCACAGTGACTGCCTCAGCAGGGTGAGTATACCACAGGAGCTGTACAGAAACCACAGGAAGAGAGAAGAAAGGGCCATATAGGGCGGTGGACACTAAGAACGATGTAACTGAGGAGTTTCACTCCTTTTACGTTTTCAGAATGGCCAGGAGACAATAGATTAGGTGGCTCATGGATTTATCAAAACTCTCATAGACTTCACTGAGAGCCAATGGCAGCCCTTTGATTTAGTGGGATGGCTTACCTCTGGCTTCTTTACTTCTTGCTTCTTTACACATAAAGAACAGAGAGACAGCTGCTGCACATGCATCATCATTTCTGTAGAGAAGACAGGGCAATGGCTAAGGCTTCTACTCCTCATCTATCCTGCACAGTCCCTTTCTGGGGTAGAGGACTAGTCTTGTCACCTACTACAGTCCCTTGGATCAAACCAGCCTTGCCTGCCACCTTGTGGCTACATGTCACCTCTGCATCTTCTGACAACAGGTAAGGGCTGGGTCCCCTATCTGGCTGGGTCCCCTTAATTAAGCAGGCTTTGTGCTCTTCTGTAGCACTGAATATATTAACTTAATTTTCCAAAGTGCAGTGGAAGTGAGCCTTATGGCTTACCAAGGACTGTTAAGTACAACTGAAGAGTGGCACTTGTGTGAGGGACCTGTCCTTTAAGCCACACAGGTGTCCTCAGGTGGAAGATCCAGCAGGGGCTAAACAGGCTGGGGCTTCTCTAGCACAGATGAATGGAGGAAATGAGATTGAATAGGAAGGGGCTGATGTTCCAGTGAGATGGAGCCCCCACAAGCCAGATCAGGAACTTCCTCTGTATATCCCCTTGACTCTCTGGAAGACCTTGGTACAAAGGACAGGGAAGCACCCCAGGTAGCACCTGCAGTCTGTCCATCTGAACCAGCCCCCTAAAACGGATCCAAGAAAACCTGACTCTGAGTGGGCTGGGTGTGAGATCAATCATTGCTGGCTAATTTTGGACAACTATTCTAGTGTAAATTTATCACTGCCAACAGGTTGTTTTATAGTTTGAGACAACCCTATGGAAAAGAAAGAACTTAAAGTTTACAGTCAGGCCAAACTGGGTTGGAATATAGGCCACACTGCTCACTCTGCTGAGACCACAGAAGTTTCCCTTATCCCTCTGAGGCTCACTTTCCTCATCTGCACAGTGGGGACAGAACCGTAGTGAGGATTAAGTCGGATAATTCCTGGCAGTGAGTAAACACATGACAGGAACAGATCTTAGGATTTTACAAATACAGAATCTGTAAGACATGACCACCACAACCATCACACTAGCTAGAGGAAAGGTGTACCATATTGCACAAAACATTCCAGGTACCTGCTCGATGGCAGGTCATGGCCCACACTTTGCTATCTGTTCTTCTGCTTTTGTTCACTTCTCATCTTGTGGAGCAACACAGTAACCAAGCACTTCTGGTTTCCAGTTACCAGAAGTCTACACAGCCACGATTCCTCTAGAAAGTGACATTCCCAGTCAAAGTAGCCAATGCTCTCCCCAACAGGCACCCAGGGTGGAAGCCGTACCTTCCACATGCAGGACCCTCACTCCCCAGGAACGGGCATTGGTCAGGAGGCTGCTGCTGCTCCCACTGCCACCTCCACTGCTGCTCCCCTGAAATGACAGAGCAGAGACTCTTCAAGGCTGGAGCATGATAGGGACAGGTAGACCAGACAATGCTTTGAGAGGGGCATCTTGAAGGGAGGCAGGGAAGAGAGCACAATTCCTGTAGCAGCATCCCATCCCCCAGTTTCCACATAGTTGGGCAGATCAGGAGGGGATAGATCTGATCTGGCCAGCTTCTGACCATGAAAGGACATATGCTTGTAAGACAGCTGCTTGGCAGGAGGGTCTCTAAGAGAAGGGCTGTCAGCACACAGCAAGAACACAGTCCAGTGGCTCTGGTGGCTCAGACCTATAATCCTAGCTACTCAGGAGGCAGAGATCAGGAGGATCATGGTTTAGGCTAGCCAGGGCAATAGTTCTCCAGACCCTATCTTGAAAATACCCAACACAAAACAGGGCTGGTGGAGTGGCTCAAGTGGTACAGTGCCTGCTTAGCAAAGCCCTGAGTTCAAACCCCAGTACTGCTGGAAAAAAAATATGAAAAAGATGTATATAGTCTGCTTTATGTGCACGGTAGATCCATCCAAGGTCCTTCTGCTAAGCTCTGGAGTTGGCTCTGACTCTAACATGTAATCCCTAGACAAATTATAAACTCTGAGCCTCCACTCCCTCATTTGTAAGAAGGAAAGAATGACACTACTAACATCTCAGTGTGAGTTCTAAGTTAGTACTTTGGAAGAACCTTAGAAGAATCGCCAAATCTCTCTCTGTGCTGAAGACATCCTCTAGCACTTGTTTTGGCATACTGAAAAAGGCAGATGTACTCCTTCGAGCCTTAACTTTAAGGTTTTTAAACTGTATAAAATGTATTAACAAAAGAAGCAATTTTGACCATCTTCAAGTGTACAGTTTATTGGTACTGACTACATTTACACTGTTCCATAACCTTTACTACTACCTATTCTCATCCACCTAGCCCCATCTTGCCCCAGCTCACCTGATTTTTGATGGCCTTCTGCAGCAGTTCCTTCCCTCTGCTCAGAGGAACCTGATGGGAAGAGAAGAGCAGTGAGGCATGCTGTGTAGACCATGGCATATGCACAGATGCTTATACATGAGCTGGTGAGGGTATCTTGTATCATGTTCCATGGAAAGCTGCGAGTAGTGACAGCTGAGGTCAGGCACAAAAGGTTCCTAGAGAACCTTTAGAAGGTAAAGTAAAGCTACATGTAAGGTGAGGTCACCTAAAGGTAGCTGCAGCCTGGGCAAACTCAACCCTGGTGGAGAAAGGCACTCTGAATTCACCCAAGGTCAAACCATCACAGACATTCTAAGACCTCTCTTTAAGTCTCTGAGCTGGGCACTAGTGAATTATGCCTGCAATCCTAACTACTTGGGAAGCTGAGATCAGGAGGATCACCATTCAAGACCAGCCCAGGTAAGAGTTTGTGAGACCACCCATCTCCAAAATAACCAGAACAAAATGGACTGGAGGTGTGTCTCAAGTGGTAGAGCACATGCACTCTCCAGTAGATAATAGCAATGTTTCATTTCAGAAAATGGGTTTTTTTGTTCCTTGGATGTCTTGTCTTTCTTCTTTTTTTTCTTTTTGCGGTACTGGGGCTTGAACTCAGGGCCTTCACGTTGAGCCACTCCAACATGAAGAGTTTTTTGAGACAGAGTCTCACAGAACTATATGCCCAGGCTGGCTTCCAACCACAATCCTCCTGATCTCTGCCTCCTGAATAGCTAGGATTATAGGTGTGAGCCACCAATGCACAGCAGACATCGTGTCTTTCATCATGATGTCAACAGTGAATGTTCATGGACATTTTTTTATGCCTGGGACTGGGGTCTGGTTATTTCAGAGATGGATATTTCATGAACTATTTGCCTGGGCTGGCCTAGAACCGCGATCTACCTGATCTTAGCCTTCGTACTAGCGAAGATTACAGGTGTAAGCCACTGGTGCCCTCGTTCATAGACATTTTCATATTAGCCTAAGTTAAGCAAAAGTTAGAATGCAAGTCTAGTGGGGGAAAACCACAGCACACTCTAAGTCAAAGAAGGGACATGGGGTTGTCCCAACTGTTGACCCTTCCTACATGAGAACAAGAGAGAAGGGAATTGGTGCAAGCCCATTCCCGCCCAAGCCCAGTGCAATTCTAATCACTTTAGAGAGAACTCTCCTCTTGTTTCTGAACTTCTGACTCTCAAGTACCCAAAAATAGTGACATACAGCAGAGAAGGAATAGCATGAGGATGGCATGTTGCTGAGGTGCTTAGATCCACAGCTAGGACAAAATATCCTCAGTCCTTGAACTCAAATGAGATTAAATTAAACCAGATAAAGCTAAAACCAGAGGCTGCTTGAAAGGGCTTACCAAAGCCTATTTTCTTTGTTTACTGAACCCATCTTTCCTACCCATGAGATTCTCACCGAGTCTACGGGTTTCTGTGAAGGTCTGGCATGGCTGCCTTTTGGAATGGCCATGGAGGATGTTTCCATTCTAACTTCACTGGAGCTGGGATAGCCTCTGTGGCTTGAATCGCTACTCTCTGTCTTTGCTTCTCTCCGGCTGGACACAATGTAACTTACTTCTTTGCTCAGAAAACCCTCAATTACCTGAAACCAGATCACAGGGATGGCTGAAAATCAAAAAGCAGATGTAGAACTGTCAATATCAAGAGGTTGGGAAAGGAAATCTTGGCTGCCAGAAGTTCCAGAATCAATGTCTTTAAATAGACTAAATGCAGTTCTGTACCAAGCCTCCAAGAAGACATCATTCTGAAATATAATAGGGTTAATACAGGTTTAGCCTCCAGGAACTGCTGTTCCTGACCTAGCAGCAGAAGCCATGGGCTTTGAGTTCTCTGACAATTTCAGAGTACATGCAGAAAAAAACACATTGAAGGGCCAGGCAGGATTAAGTCCCTAGCTCAAAAATATCCAACACAAAAAAGGGCTGGTGGAGTGGCTCAAGTGGTAGAGTGCCTGCCTAGCTAAGTATAAAGTCCTGAGTTCAAATCCTAACACTGCCAAAAAAACAAAAACAAAACCCAGAACAAAAAGGATTTGGCTAATACTCAGCTGCACAGGTATCTGCTCACCACGTCAATTTTTTTTTTTAAGTACTGGAGTTTGAACTCAGGGCTTCACACCTGCTACATAGGTACTCTACCGCTTGAGCCATGCTTCTATTCCTTCACCTTGTCAAATTGTAAGCCTCTTATGAGCACTGAAAGGTTCTGACTCATCTTTCTATCTCAACCACCTAGCACAGTGAATGAAGCATAATGCCACTTAACTCACCTCTGTAGGAAGAAAAGGTGGAAATACAACAAGGTGAACTGGCAGATGCTAAAAGATCGATACTTGAAGAATAAAAAAAAAATGCTTTGTACATTTGTTGATTCCTGGATGATTTCAAGCTACCAAAATGATGTCAATGAACAAGCAACTTGGGAGAAATGCTAACCATTGCATCTTGAGAGCCAGTTATCAGCCAGCTCTAGCACACCAGTGAGAATTAAGATGGGGGTGCCTTAGAAGATGACTCCATGGGAAACCTGGAACTTAGGTTAAAAAAACATTTAGGGGGATGGAGGTATGGCTCAAGTGGTAAAACACCTGCCTAGCAAGCATGAGGCCCTGAATTCAAACCCCAGCACTACCAAAATTAATTAATTAACTTCTTGAAAAGATGAACAAAGAATTAACAATTCCACACCTAGGTATATATTTCAAAAGAACTGAAGACAGTCTCATGAACTGTATATCAACGTTTACTATAGGATTAGTCACAATATCTAAAAAGTAGAAACAACCCAAATGCCCATCAACAGATGAGTGGATAAACAAAATGTGAACTATCTATGCATCTATGCAATGGAATATTATTTATCCCCCCAAAAGAAATGAAATGTCTTACAACATGGATGAACTTTGAAAACATTATGGTAAAGTCAGGTGTGGTGGTGCACACTTGTAATCCCAGCACTCAGGAGGCTGAATAAGGAGGATCACAAGTTCCAAGACAGACTAGGCTACATAAAAAGAACCCCTTTCTGTCAAGTGCCCATGAGTTATGCCTATAATCCTAGCTACTTGGGAGGTTGAGATCCAGAGGATCAAGGTTCAAGGCCAGCCCAGGCAAATAGTTCACAAGACCCACCCCCCATCTCCAAAAGACCAGAACAAAATGGACTGGATGTGTGGCTCAAGCAGTAGAGTCATGCTGCTTTGCAAGCATGAAGTCCTGAGTTCAAACCCCAGTCCCACCAAAAACAAAACCAAACCCTGTCTCAACAAGTAAAATAAATAAAACAGGCAAGCAAAAGGCATTATGCTGTGTGGAATATCAGTGATTCCACTGACATGAGGTATCTACAATAAACAAATTCAGATAGCAGATTATAGGTCAGCAAGACTTGGGGAAGGGGACACAGGGAGCTATTATTTAATGATCGGAGTGTTTAGAAAGGTGCAAACAGATAATGGCTATCGTTACATAATAGTGTAAAAGTAATGCAATAAACCATACAATGAAAAATGGCTAAAATGGCTTGTTGTTAATACATTTCACTACAATTTAAAAATATCTTTAAAGGCATAGCTTGAAAGAATACATCCACCTTTTTCAACATTAAAAAAAGTACTAGAGGGCAGGAGTGGGGAAAGGATCATCCTATAGGAATGTGGCAGGTAGCTCAATGGCCACCCACTGCTCCAATCTCAGCATACCCACTCATTTGCAATGACTGCTGTTCCTTCCATCAGGAGGTAGAGCCCACTTTTCAATCTCTAATCTGACCCACTTTGACCAAAGAGCGTGGGAGAAGTAACATGGTATGTGTTCTAGAGCTGAAGGCTTGCAGCCTCCCCTTCTTGGAAGGCTCCTGTGACCATCATGCATACCAGCTGGTCTGACTTACTGTAAACATACAATACCATACATGTGTAATGCATGTAAGAAACTGCTCATACAATGCACAAGAAACCACACAGTGCCAGGTATGTGGTCAAGGCCGTCTTGGTCTCTCAGCCCAAGTGGGCCTCCTGCAGAATGCAGTGCAGGAGGGAACCCCATTGCAGCCACCAGAGGAAGTACCCAGCCAACCCTAAGGATAATGGGAAGTAATAATAGTATTAATTTAAACCCAAGTCCGAGGGTGTTTTTTTTACATAGTAGAAATTAAAATGAAAGAAGCCTAAAAGTTCAAAATGTAATTATGGGTCAATTTGGACATAGTCCTCATCCTGCCCACCCCCCACTGCCGAGTTTCTGCATTGCTGAGTTTCTGGTTAGTTTGACAGCAAAAAGCTTCTGCGTCCCAAGCCTGTTTGTGCTGTTTCTGTAGTAATCAGTCTCTTCTGAGATGCCCCCCATCAGACTATGTTCCAGACACAAGGATACTCATTGTCAATTCCTTAGTAAAATTACCATACGACATATGCTTTAGAAATATTTTAATGGACCCAAATACAGCAATTTTTGGGCGGGGGTGGGGAGAGAGACTGGGGTTTGAACTCAAGGCTTTGTGCTTGCAAAACAAGTATTTTACTGCCTGGGCAACACTTCCAGCCGGCTTTGCTCTGGTTATTTTGGAGATGGCATCTTGCAAACTATTTGTGCAGGCTGGCCTTAACCTGCGAATCTCTTGATCCCCGCCTCCCATGTAGCTAAGATTACAAATATGAGCCAATGTGCCTGGCTCAGCGAATGCTTTTTACCCAAAGTTGCTCTCACAGTGTTATTTCTAAGAGCTAAAACTTAGAAATAATCTAAATGTCTGTTAGGTTAAGTAAATCAATAACCAACTCAAAAATATATTAGATTGCATTCTCATTACAGATAATGCACATAAAGGACAATAATGACAGGAAAGTGCTAATGTTTTAAAGTTATAGGCAAAAAACTGGAAATAAAAAATGTATTTCTGATCATAGCTACACAGAAACTAAGCATAAAAAAGCAAAGGCAGAATAGAGATAGAAAGTAGACGAGTGTTAAGTCGGGCAAGGTGGCCCATGCCTGTAATCTTAGCACAAGGGAGGCCAAGGAAGGAGGATCACAAGTTCAAGATCCTGTCTCAAAAAACAAAAAGTGTTTACCCGGGGCTGGGGGCATTTTAGGGATGCAGAAAGTGACTGATAATGAATATAGGGGTTTCTCATGGAATGATGAAGATGTCCTAAAATTCAGTTTGAATGTCTCTGTGAAAACAGTTGACCCTCAGGATCTGCGAGGGCTGGTCCCATAACCTCTTACACAAAATGATATAGTATTTACATATGTCTATGCACATCCTCCCACACACTTAAAACATCTCTGGATTATAATACCCTGTACAATGCAAATCTATATAAAGAGTTTTTATACTCTAACTGGGAGCCTGTAATCCTAGCTACTCAAGAAGCAGAGATCAGGAAGATCATGATTCAGCCCCAGGAAACAGTTCGCAAGACCCTATCTTGAAAAAACTCATCACATAAAAGGGCAGGTGGAGAGGCTCAAGGTGTAAGCCTTGAGTTCAAACTCAGTACCACAAAAAAAAAAAAAAGTTTTCATTCTCTGTTGTTTGGGGAATAATGAATAATGAGAAAAAAAAAGAACCTGCCTATGTTCAGTACAAATGCAGTATTTTTTGTTCCGGAATATTTTCAAGCTGCAGTTGGTTGAATCCTTGCACAAGGAACCCATGGCTATGAAGGGCTTATTGTATACTAAAAACCACTAACTGTATACTTTAAGGTTTTTTTCCCCCAGCACCGGGATTTGAACTCAGCGCCAAATGCTGGCTAGGCAAGTGCTCTACCACTTGAACGACTGCACCAACCCCTAACTATGTACTTTAAACGGATGAATTTTATGGCATGTGAACTATATTCCTCCCAGTATGGGAGGAAGGGTGAAAGCAAGGAAAGAAGAATACATAAAAATGCTGATTGCCCCAGCCCTCCATGTCCATGCTTACTACATCCTCAGACTCAATCAATGACAGATTGAAAATACCACCTGGAGTAATACATACTCTCTACATTTCTAGAATGACAAATATTATTTTTCCAATTAGAAAAAAAATTAACTTTATTTAATAAGATGATTCATACTTAAAATTGCTTTGGAAAATGCAGTAATATCATTGGAAGAATCTGGGAACCATACACATAATACCTCTCCAGCTCCTGTCTGACAATCCACCCAAGGTGTGAAACACGTTACATACCCCTCCCAGCTGCTGGATGGCCCCTGTTAAAAACTGGAGATTCCTGCCAGTAGGCAGATCCAAGTAAAAGGATTTTCCAGAAAAGGGCTGCCTCCCAGCACCAGATAAACTCTTCCGGCACTTTCCCAGACAGCTGGAAACTCCTCGATGAGCCCCTGGAAAACAACAACAAATAGGAGCAAGGTAAGAAGCTTGAGGAAAGAGAGGGTCCTGCAAGTCAGGCCAGCCCAGACCCTGTGGTAGGACATGGGTACAAAAGGGGAACTTCAAAGCTAGTTCCCCTACCTACACGAAACTCAGAAGTAGAGTTCTCACACACAGCTAGTAGAAACGTAATGGGCTGGCAGAGTGGCTCAAATGGTAGAACGCCTCTGTAGCAAGCATAAAGTTCTGAGTTCAAACCCCAGTACCACCAAAAAAACTAAAATACAACAACAACAAAAAAAACCAAGGCCAGCCTGCCTGCTTCACATATTGAGACCGGTGGCTTACACCTATAATCCTAGCTACTCAGGAGGCAGAGGTCAGGAGGATTGTGGTTCAAAGCCAGCCTGGAGAAATAGTTAGCGAGACCCTAGCTCAAAAAAACTCATCACAAAATAAAAAGCGCTGGTGGAGTGGCTCAAAGTGTAGACCCTGAGTTTAAACCACAATACCACAAGAAAAAAACAAAACAAAAACATAAAATGGTGCAGTCACTGCATGTGACCCAGCAACTCTACTTCTAGGCATATACTCTGGAGAAGTAAAAACAAAGTCCACTCAAAAACTTGCATACAGCTCTCTCAGCTTCCAGCTTCCACCTGACTCACCAAGCTTTCCTTTGTATTTCCCTTCCCTAAATTTTAATAAATTCCCTTTGCACCCACATGTCCTGCCATGGATTCTTTTCTGTGGGACAAGAATTTGGAAGTCTTCTGATCACAGACTGAACCAGTGCTGTTAACAATTTTAGCAAAGCCAGCCAAAGAGTTTAAAAAAAAAAAAAAAAAGAGACCCTTTGGAGTGACCATGTGGTCACCGGAAATGCTGCCACCATGATGGAGCCAGGATGTGTTCAACGCCATCTTGCCACTCCCTAGGGATGGGTGATGCCACCTTGCCATCCTCTAGGAAAATTTTAACTAACTTGTAGTTAAAAGTCTCTAAATTAAAAAAAAAAAAAACACCTTACACACAAATGTTCATAGCAGCATTATTCATAACCAAAAAGGGAAAGAATTCAAATATAAGTGGGTAAATTTGATATATACCTGCAATGGAATATTATTTGGCAATAAAAAATGAAGTACTGATAGATGGATGAACCTTAAAAACATGCTAGAAGACAGACACCAAATGTCATGTACTGTAGGAATCCAATGATGCGAAATGTTCTGAAAAGGCAACTCTATAAGAAAGTAGACTGGTATTTGCTCAGGGCAGGGATGGGAATAAAGAATGATTGCAAATAGGTATGAGGTTCCTGTTGGGGTGATGACAATGTTCTAAAATTAGATTTTACTGTTAGTTCTACACCTCTGTAAATTAACTCAAAAGTCATTCAAAGTGTACACAAGTGAATTTGATTTGTACCTCATCAAAAATAAACACCTCACTGAAGAAAATGTATGTTGAACCAGCTGAAGGAGCAGGTACTAAGGTATATAAGTTACTGCAAATGCATCAAAAAATTGGAGAGTGACGATGAGATGGAATGTGATATTAAAATGTCAATGACAGCTGAGCACTGGTGGCTCATGCCTGTAATCTTAATCCTAGCTACTTAAGAGGCAGAGGGTAGGTAGAGAGAGATAGAGTCATTGGAAAGTCAGCTTGGCATCTTCCAGAAAAGACCTTGGCTCATGAGTCCTATTTCTCCCTCTACTTGCTGTGTAATCCTAGGCAAGTCACATCTCATTTAGTATCTGAGTTTCTATTCCTCATTTCTAAAGCAGTGATAACAAATGCCCACTTCCACTGCAGAGTAAATAGAATACTGTATATCATGTCAGATGGTATTGGGGAGATACTTAACTACAGATACATCACAGGAACCAACCATGCAGAACAGTTTAACTGGAAACATCTGGGAACACCACAGGAAGATAGCCCTTTAGTTTCTCAGTTCCAAACAAAGTAGTAAACACACAAGGCCTGCTGACTTCTTCCTTGGAATGTAAATCTAGGCAAGACACTGAAATAAGAAGAAACTGGATGGATCTCAAAACCAGACATTGAGTGGCTGGGATGAACAGCAAGCCTACAGCAGAGGAGCAAGCAAGGACTTCCAAGTGGGTGACCAGCTGGAGAATGCTTCCTAGTTGTGCTGAGGGAGTCACTGCTTGTCCTGGTCCCAGTGCCACACAAGCAGCCTAGTGCCTACAGAGGCAGCAGGGTAACATCAGGGCAAGGTTGTAGTCCATTTTGGGGTAACTATACATGTGTATGTCAAACAACACAGGGTCAAGGGATGCTGATCTGACAACTAGATGAGTCTCCCTCCTTACTCCCTTCCCACATGGTAAGCTACGTAATTTCAATTCAAGGGGAAAGCTCTTATGAAAAAACAATACAAAGTATATGTGTTGGAGCAGCTGGTGCAAAAGATCAAGGGCTCTATCTCAGGGTGGCTTTCCTTTTTCTTCCAAACTCAGTGAAGAGGCTGGATACAGGGCCTAACCTTTTGATCCTTATTCCAGATGTACAGTGCCAATAAGAGTAGCTAATGGTCTCAAGGGAATATTAGTGTTTAAGAAAACATGAGACCATAGCAGAAAGCAAGTAATATAAAAGATGCTTTCTCTGCACATTGTCTATATGTCAAAAGCAATGAACCATCCATAAGAATTTTAAGATATAACAAATATCCTCAAAAAGGCAAGGAAAGGAGTGGCAGAGTGGCTCAAGTGGAAGAATGCCTGCTTAGTGAGCATGAGGCCCTGAGTTCAAACCAGTACTGCCAAAAAAGAAATCCCCCACCAAAAAAAAAAAGAAAAAAAAAAAAAAAAGAAAGAAAAGAATTATTGCTGGATGCTGGAGGTTCAATGTCTATAATCCTAGCTGCTTGGGAGGCTGAGATCAGGAGGACTGAGGTTCAACGTCAGCCAGAGACCAATCATGAGATCCCCATCTCAATCAACACAGCTGAGGCATGCACCAGTTATCCCAAGCTATGTGGAAGGCTGAGATGAAGAAGATTGCAGTTCCAGGCCAGCCCAGGTAAAAGAGTTTGTGAGACCTCATCTCAAGGAGTCAAGGGGGAAAAAGCTGGTGTGGTGGCACATGTCCATCATCCCAACCAATGGTGGAAAGCAAAAAATAGGAGGATCACAGTTCAGGCCTATCTGGGCAAAAAATGGGATCCCATCTCCAAAATAACCAGAGCAAAAAGGATTGCAGGCATGGATCAAGTGGTAGGGTGCCTGCCTAGCACTCTACCCAAGTTTTGGAGGGGTACCACCCCTTTAAAAAAAAAATTGCTCCCCAGTTCAAATCCAGGCACCCCCTCCAGAAAGAACTGGAGATAATTGATAATGAAAAATAATTAAGAACCCTCAGAGCCGGGAGCCAGTGGTTCATGTCTGTAATCCTAGCTACTCAGGAGGCAGAGATCAGGAGGATCGCGGTTTGAAGCCAGCCTGGGCAAGTACTTTGAGAGACATTATCTTGAAAATACCCAACACACACACACACACACACACACACACACACACACACACACACACACACAAAAAGCACTGGCAGAGTGGCTCAAGGTGAGGACCCTGAGTTCAAGCCCCAGTGCCGCAAAAAAACAAAAACAAACAAAAAATCCACACAAAAGAAAAGAAAAGTGCTTCTTGGTTTGTTGTTTTGCAGGAACGTCACAGCCAGGTGAAGTGCTTTTAAACTATGTTTCCAACCAGTATGACAATGATGCCACTGTTGGGGCCCTGAAGACAGGACTCATCTATAAGAGTTTGAAATGGAAGCTGTTAAGCAAAGTTTGGCCACAGCTGATCTGAAACCAAAACCCTACACAGGGTTAGTTACACTGAAGAGGGCAGTCAGAGCTTTCAGCTCATCAGAACAAAATTCTCCATGTTGACAATCACATTCGTATCTCAATGGTGAGGCTCACCTAGACTTAGGTAATTTTATATACCAGTAGTGTTTGGATTCCAGATTTGTATTTGACAGACCACCTCCTAACCTCCTATACCTTGTCTTGAATTGCTACCTGGAAGCAAGACCCAGATACCAATATGATGGTAAGACCAGGGGCCATATGGTATTGGAGTGCCTATTGCTGGTATGTTATAAGCTCTCACATTTTCCAAACCTGTCCATCTGCTAACTATTTTGACTGCAGAGCTATGTCCATTGAAGCCCATTCTCCACCAGCTTATAGTTACTTAGAGAGACGTTATGTCTGAATTTACAGAGTAATTTAAATTATCTGTTTAGGCTGAGGGATGGAGGCTCATGACTGTAATCCTAGCACTTTGGAGGCTTGGGCAGGAAGAATGCAAGTTTGAGGCCAGTGTGGACTACAGAGTAAATTTGGAGGTCACCCTGGGCAACATAGAGACCTTGTCTCAAAAACCAAACCAAACAAAAACAAAAACTGGCTAAATATGGTCTATATTCTTTAAGAGGCACTTTCTGCAGACTAGGACCTGAGTACAAAGAACATTTCCATTGGAACTGTTAATACAGACTTAAGAGTTTACAATCTGTGATGATGATGATGCTAAGTGTCTGTTCCTGGAAGGTCTTGGAGAGAGATCAAAGAAAGGTGCGGTCTGAACCACCTGCCGATGAACTGCAGGAAAGGCAGATGAACCAATGGAACGTTAGGTGATAAACTTGTCCATGTGCATTATCAAACACATAATACAGGAACACATACTGGTGACAATAAATATACTTTGAACCCAAAGAGGTAGAGTGGTGGAATGATATGTTTTAGGAATCAGTCTACATGTGAAATTTTTCCAAGGAAACTCACTAAAAACCATAGCATAGGGTACATTTATCTTTGAAAAGCTCTATATAATGATTTCCTACAAAGTATAGATATCTGTACTAATGCCTTTATGTTATTGATTGATTGACTGACTGATAGATTGATTGCAATACTGGGGATCAAGCCCAGGGTCTTAGACATGCAAGGCAAGCACTCTAACACTGA